TCCGTTACACAGCAATCTACCCTAGCTCACAAGCTCGCAGTGGTTCGTCTTGCCAAGCTGGCAAACCTGACACTGCCCTCTGCGTGCTGCGTGTTGCGTGTCCGGGTTGCATGTTAGGGTGCCTGTTTCATGTTGGCGATAACTCAGAGGAGCGTCGAGGGTGCTGTGAATGAAAGTAGAAAGATCTGCGGACGTCGTCGTGGCAGCCGAGGCATAGATTTCACTGGCGGGACGATTCGGCGAAGCAAACGGCAAAGAGGTGTGAGCGTCGGTGCGCCCTTGTCGAGCAGAGGACGTGCTGTGTTGAATGCGCTGTTGTGCTTCTTGACAGACACCTGTGAGGTGCTGATCTGTCGTGTGTCTGAGCGGAGCTCTTGTGGCTCATTGAGTTTTGCTCAAAGGTGAGTCACACGCCATGCTGTCATGCTGCTCAGTCATCGGCTGTCCGTCGTCGTTGTGTGTGTCACAGGCCTGTGCCCAGCAGACAGGTCTTCGTCTGCTGATTGTGTTGGCGGTGACTCGAAGCGCCAACGTGTCGACGGCCGTGCCGCTGGGGATGCTGGTGAGATCACACACACACGGTTGGCTGACAGACAGACTGACAGACAGACAGACAGACAGACAGACGTGCAACGGACCATCGTGTATGTGTGTTTGCACAGGCGTCGGTGCGATGAATGGCACAGCCGCTCACCACCACCAGCGGCAGGAGGGACACAGCCAAGCAGCATCGGTTAGTGAGGCAGTGCGGCACCACACATCACCGTGGGAATGGCTGAGTCTCACTGAGAGTGCCTCTGTTCACTGTGTGTGCAGGCGTCCCCCCCTGTGTGTGTCGGGTCGGGTGATGTCTGTGGTCGGCTGGCGGCCATTCACTCACTCATTCAGCAGGTGGGTGACGCACAGACATCGACCCACTGGTGGATGCAGCCGTGGTATGTCTGCTCTGTGTGTGTATCAGGTGGCCACTGAGGTGTCGGCCGCCGACCCGCTGATAATGCCGTCCATCGCCGCTGACCAGGTGAGTCACACAGACACAGTGAGGGGGGCGGCTCAACACATTCCGCCTTATCTGTCGTCTGTGTGATGGCTTCAGGCGTCCGTCATTGCCCATGAGTGGTCATCTGTCAAGTCGAGCGTGTCGACCCTCTCGGCCGCCGTGGCCACCATCGTCCACCACATCTCTGCCGCCCCGCCCCCTCCCCCCGGCCAACCAGACACTGCCGTGGACGTGACGGCCAACCGGCTGCCGTCCGATGTGTTCTGTGACGGTGTGGTGGGCTACCTCCCTGTCGACGTGGCCATTAGCCCGGCGCGTGCAACCAACACCCACTACGGCACACAACTCATCAACGAGGCCTTCATGCTCAAGCGCGTCGACTGCTCGCTCGACAGCAACCACCTCAGCGGCCTCATCGACGTCTATCGGCCGTCATTCCAGTACTTCAGCAAATGCGCCTATGTGCTCGAGCAGGGAGGTCATGTGTGGCGGGAGATGGCCGAATTCATTCGTGTGGCGGCCATCTACAAGCTCATCAAGGCACTGCCCCTGTCTCTGATGCTGTCGCCTCAGTGGATGGCCGACCATCTGGCCAGCAAGAGCGAATTCCATCAGATGCCGGCCGCATTAGCCATCTACAGCACATTCGCCACATGCTCAGCCACAGGGGGACCACCCTAGAGCTGCGGCGGGTGGAGGGAGATGACGGCGACAGCGATCAGGAGAGTGACGAGGATGAGAGCAACGGTGACAGAGACAGCGACAGTGACGATGAGATGAATGAGGATGGCGCTGGGGGCGGCGACGCGAGTGCCGGAGAGGGCACAGCGGGCAGCGGCCAGGGGAGGCAGCAGGGCGGTGGCGGTGGTGGTGTGACGAGGCAGCGCTACAGGATCGGCGATGTCGAATTCACGACGGTCCCCCTCATCGATCTGCCCCCCGCCCACCCCTACCGAGCCACGTACAATGCCGTCGACCCGCCCGTCCGCTGGAGGGGCTGGCTCTTTCGATCATTCACGGCATTCATCAAGCGGATGGCCCTGTGGTTCTGGCATGACCAAGTGGGAGGGGTGGAGCAGAAGCGTGTGACTAGTGCTCGTGTCGGCCCTGACGACACTCGCTATCTGTCCCTGCTGACGGAGCCCATCGAGGGCCACAAGACCATCGACTTCATGCTTTGGCAGCCAGGCCAGCGACATGACGGCCGCGAGCGATTCATCATCCTCAAGGGCACAGCAGCGACAGACACCATCGTGGCTTACCTGTGGCTGGACAGTGGCAACATCCACCTCTACACGACCGAGGCCCCGATTGAGGGCAACACGCGCATCGAGCGCTTCCCAGTTGCTGTGGCGGCCGCCCGACCTCTGCTGGCAACACATGGGCTCGAGAGAACAGTGCTCCGATAGATGCCTTACATAGCAACACACTGGTGAGGTACACGGGAGGTTGGGAGTGAGGGGGCTGTAGGCGTGTGTAGAAAGGGTGGGTGGCGGCTGGTAGAGGAATACATATCTTCTGGTGACCTGGCTGGCCGCACACTGTGACTGACTGACTCGTTTGTCGGTGGCCATGTGTCTGTCTGTTTGGCACCTTTGTCTGCATTGCATGCCGATACCGTTCAACAGATGCTTTAAGAGGCTGTCTCGACGTAAGCAAGTGTCCGGCGGTCTGCCGCCATCAAGTCAATCATGCCGCCGTTCATGATTCATTCATCAGTGTGGAGCCACACAAGAATAAGTCAAAGCCACGGGAGGCAGGCAGTCAGGGAAAGGAAGGAGACCTACAAGGCCGTGATCTCGTGATCCGCACTACTTAGTTAGCCAAACTACGCACACATCCATCCATCCATCAGGACGCTACTTACTGCTGCGCTGCATGCCCTCACAAGTGTGTCATCGGCAGCAGCGCGTATCGACCGACCTCAATCACTACCACTACTGTCTGTCTGTCTGTCGACCGCCCCCTGCCCCCATCTACAGCGCACACGACTCTTCTTGGCGTCACCTCACCGACCGCCACTAGCCATCGAGTCAGTCCACTCACTGCCTCCCTCGCGCCCCAGGTGGTGAGTGAGGGATGACTCATCCGTCGTGGGAGGGCTTGCTTGCACTACTTAGACGAATCCCCGGATTTGCAGGCTCTGGTTCCTCACCGAAAGGAGAGGGGGGAGATGTCCATCTCTGGTGTGACACCCCACTCAGTCGCCCTGCCCGCCCCCTGGCCGTGACTGGAGTAGCTGTGGCCGTGGACGTCCATGTGACTCGTATGCACTCCCCCCACACCATTCAGCAGCGGCGGTGGGCCCGGTGGCGGAGGCGGCTGGTTGGCGTACATGGGCACTGCCGCGTTGGCTGGAGGGGGCGGGGGCGGTGGCGGGGGTGGCGGTGGCGGTGGTGGTGGCGGGGGCGGCTGGTCGCACTCATGCTGGACGGGTGGTTCATTCCGAAACACAGCGGAGGCTTGGATGTGGTTGCGGTTCCTGTGACCAGCCGCGTTGGGCAGGAGCGACGGGGAGGCCGGCTGGGAGTGAGACATTCGCGAGGCGGGGACGCTGCTGTCGTTGGATGGGGGTGGGGGCTTGTGAAGGGCGAGAGGGGAGGGAGAGGGGAAAATTGACGGCCGCCACGATCCATACTCGTCATAGATAGTGGGCCGCGGGGGCCCTGCTGCCATGGAGAGCGCCGGCCTCGCTCCGCCATGGTGCATGCCCTTGCGTGACGCTGTTGCCCCACTACTTGGTCCGCCGAAAGCCACGACGCTGGAGTCTCTCTCGCCGAACATCCAGCCGCTGTTGGACTGCTGGTCGAAACTCCCCCAGCCGATGGGTGAAGGCGAGGCCTCCTCCATTGAGGCATAGAAGGGCTGCTGAAGACCACTACTGGGCGCGGGCACATGCTGATGGGGCACTACTGCCGCCATGGACAGCGGCGTCTCCTCGGCTGACCCCCTTCGCTGCCTCCGGCCGGCCGCCACTCGGCTGTCGGGTGGCAGGGGGGGTCTTCTCATTGACGGGCTGTCGTCCTGCCCCATCTGCTGCTGCATGGACGAGTAGGCACCCAAATTGACGCCCCGCATGACGTCGCCGTCCGAGTGGGTGTGGCTGACAGCTCTTCGCGTGTCGAATTGGGGAGGGTGCAGCTGGTCGGGTGAAGTGGCTGCGTCGGGTGAGAGGGAGGAGGGGGAGGGGTACAGAGAGGCCGTGTAGGACGACGGCGGCAGCCGGTGGTGAATGCCGTTGGGATACGCCTGAAAACAAGACGAAACGAGACGACACACACATGAATGGATGAGTCGTACACTTTCTTTCTCAGGGCTACCCACCTGTGCAGCTGGCGGTGAGCGCTCAGCTTCATACAGCGACAGATGCGGCGGCGATATCTGCTGCCCGCCACTAGCACCACCAGCACCACTAATGCCCCAGCCATCCCGCCCGGCGCCCTCAGGCGAGCACACTGGCAGCATCAGGGGGCTCACGCCGATGCTGCTGCTCGTCGGCCGCGAGGCACTCACTGGGCTATTGGCTATCCGATTGGTCGCAGCGTACGAGTGAGCTGCACTCGCAGCACTGGCTGATGCTCCCACTCTCCGCCCATCCCTGGTCATGACGCCGGGAGGCGCGTGGCGAAACGAAGTCCGACATGGGGTGCCGAAGAGCTGCACCGAGAGGGGTGTGGGGGAGGGCTGCTTGCGATCGAGGTGCCGCTGGTACTGGGGCGGTGGTGAGACGCCACATGGGAGAGGGCGGCCCGACTGCATCTCGTGTCTGCCGTGGATGAAGCCGGTGAAGTAGTGGCTGGGGTAGCTGTCGACAGGGGGCCGCCAGCACTCCTCAGACACCTCCTCCGGCTGGGGAAAACCCTGTGTGGGGTGGGGCACACGAGCGGGAGGGTGGACAGACGACGGGCCAACAGACGACGGGAACGGGCCCGCCTTGGCCGTCGGGACCGCACCCACGATGCCCTTGTCGCTATCAGGCATCCTATGCGGCCCGCCCCCATGCCAGCCGGCCGGGCTCCTCCTGTCCCGCCGCCTGTTCCTCTCTCTCGGCGTCGAATGGTACGAGTGGGGCCTCCCCCCGCCCCGCCCACCGTGCGGCGAGTTCCGGTGTGGCGTGACCGACATGGTGCTGGCGGGGGCCACATCGGTGCGGTTGATGGGGAGGGGATACAGGGTGCTCTGGACGGATGTGGTGGCCGGCGACCTCGTGGCGATGGGCGACGACACTGGCGCACTGCCACCCCCATTGCTGCGGGGCGTCGAGGTCCGGTTGGACATGCCCTGTCGCGGCACCAAGGGGCCCTCCGTCCTCACGCGATGGGAGGTCTTGGACAGGGCGTGCTCTGGCGGGATGGCGATGGGCCAAGGCAGGTCGGAGGGGAGGCCCCATGGGGGCGCGGCTGGGGTGTTGGTGCTGGTCCTGTAGATCTTGCACAGTCGGTATCTGGCCGTGAGATCCTGTGGGGGGGTGAAGTGTGGGTCGAACGGCTGGTTGGTGATGAAGGGGTGGTGCTGCGCCTGATAGGCCGTCCACCGGTGCCATGGATCCGGATGCAACACACCCTGATTATTATTGACATATACAGACAGGTGACAACGACACACGTGAGCCAGCCAGCGCACAGATAAGGCTGTATGGTATCTCTCTGGACTGACTGACTGACTGACCCGAAAGAACTGCTCGAAGTTCTTCATGAGCGTCTCGTCATCTACAGCCCGGTCCACCTCGCCCTCGACGTACGGCGGCCACATGGCACTCGCCCTGCCGCTCCGCCGCATTTGTTCGGGCACCGTGCCGCTGCTGGCCTTCTTGGCCATCTCCTCTATCAGCTCGTCCCACGTCGTAAACGGGAAGTACTTCCGACTCTGCTCAGTCGACGGCTTCAATCGCCACTTCCGCCTCTTATGGGGCGCTGCGGTGCCATGATAGGCGTCTTCCGGGGGTAGCGGGGTCGCCTCGGGCCCCACAGGCTCAGACACGCCTCTCCTGCTATCTGACGCTTGGCTCTCCCTCGGTGCCTCGAGGAAGCAGCTCTCGTCCCCTCTCTCTCGGTCGTCAGCCGGGCTGTCGCACGACGATGACAGGGGGAGCGGGCTCAGCCGCGGAGGCACGCTGCTGGGCCGTCTGGGCGACATGGCCGTGTGCTCACCATCGCCCCCCTCCAGCAGCTGCAGCTGTCTGTACGGCGAGGGCGTCTTGGGACGCTGAATGGCACTGGCGCAGGGAGGGGAGGGGCCAGGGGGGGCGTCAGAGGGCGGCAGGGTGACGATTGACGGACAGTCGCTGTCCGTGTAGGCTGGTGGTGGGCCCCATGAGCTACGCGGGCCTGCCCATGCCTGCGGGGCGCCCTCGCCCGCCGATGAGCCGTTGTCATGCCTGGATGTCTTGTGCGGGCCGGCAGATGGGGGCGTGACGCTGGTGGATGTCGCCGTGACGGTGGCTGTGATACTGGCCTGCGGCGCAGTATCTGTGCGGCTCTTGTTGGTGTTGATCATGCGGTTGACGTATCGCTGCTCGCGTGGCGGCTGCGGCTGCGGGCGGTCGTCGTCTTCCTCCTCCTTCTCGAAGAAGAACCGATCGGCGTACTTGCCGTGCTCCAGCATCCAATCTGGCGGCACCTGCACACACAAGGGGAGATGAACAAGGATGCAGCCCCACAACTCAACTCCCCCGACGCACACGCCCCGTTGTCCCGTCCTCACTCACCCCGAGTATCTCTACGATCCTCTGAATCATGTCTAGGTCGGAGGTGCCGGGGAAGAGCGGCAGGCCGAGGAAGAGCTCGGCGATGATGCACGCTAGTGACCACATGTCGATGCCGGTGCCGTAGGGCAGCCCCAGCAGCACCTCGGGGGCCCGGTAGAACCGCGACTGGATGTACGAGTACACCGTGTCCAACACGAAACACGACGACCCGAAATCTATCACCTTCACACGACCTGAATGAACACACACACACACACACATGGATGGATGGATGGATGGACGCCATTCATCTCCCTCCCCCTGTGCTGTGCTGTGCTGTGCTGTGCTGTGCGCAGCGCACCGTTTCCCTCGGGATGCAGCAGGACGTTCTCGGGTTTGAGGTCGGCGTGTATGATGCCGACCTCGTCGAGGAGGCAGAGGCAGTCGACCATCTGCTTGGCCACCCGCTGGATCATCCGCAGCGGGAGGGCGGCGAAGGCGTTCTCCCTCAGGAGCTCATAGAGGTTGGTGGACAGCAGCTCGAAGACGATGCACAGGTGCTGCCGCCACACGAAGAAGTCGTAGATGCGCACCATGTTGTGCCGGTCGTCCGGGTCGTAGCACTCGCTGATCAGACGCAACACCTTGGTCTCTATCAAGGCCTGGTTGTAGTACGCCTGCTTGTTCTTGATCATCTTGAGGGCGAGAGGGCCCTCGGCTGGGGGGGTGGTGCTGGTGCTGGTGGTGCCGGTGCTGGCGCCAGTTGTGGCTCGTCTGACGCACTTGAGGACCTGCCCGAAGGTGCCCTGGCCGAGATGCTCAGTCAGCTCGTACTCGACGCCATCTGGGTTGGTGATGACCTCGTGCAGCCGACAGATGTAGTCATGCTCGTCGTTGTCATGCCCGCCGTTCCACACGCCCTCGGTCTTCTTGGTCAGAAACTCTGACGCCCCGAGATGCCCATGGCCACCGCTACCGCCGCCGCCAACACCTCCACTAGCTCCACCACCGACACCACTAACAGCAGCAGTGGCCGTAGTCGCCGCAGCGGCAGCATGGTTGCTGTGAGTGGTGCTGGACTGAGTGTTGGTCAGCTGCCGATGATCTACGGGCCTGATGACGCCGAAGGCCATCCCGCCTCCCACCCTGGGCCGCTGGTAGCCACAGCCGCCCCCCTGGGTGTCGCCCTTGACGCGCGTGAGGTCCTGCGGCGCATAGGCGGGCAAGGAGAGGCTGAGATGTCCATACTGGGAAGCGGGAAGACATATAGAGTCGTTCTCGCGCAGACGCATCGTTCTGTCCATCGCTCTCGCCCCGACGCACCGGGAGCCTCAATTGCTGCGGCGGATGCCGATTGGACGATGCCGCTCTCGCGCGCAGTGAGACATACTGCTTCCGCCTCCTGTTACCCGCTGTTCTCGCGATTTCCTTGCCCACCGGGATCACATGGACTTGGTCTCCCTTCAGATCACGCCCATCTTCGAATTCACTCCACCGAGTTCGCAAACAATCGCGAGCTTAGCTCGCAAACCTTCATGAAGGCTCCTGAGGCTTGTGGGACACAGGCAGCTTGTGTGGATTCACTGCGGAAGAGCGACGGTGGAATCAGGCCATGAGGCGCATTCTCTGGTAAGGACGCAGTCATGAGAGGGATGCAGGCCAGGCCCTGTACGTGTGTGTTCCCGCTTGTCCTGTCCTGCAGATGTCCCCGTGGCCGAGCAGAGACCACGAGACCACCAGCGGGGTTGTTGAAGCAGGTGTCAAGTGGGCCTGGAGGCAGGTAAGAGCAACACACAACGATTTGGGGGTGAGCAAGGGCGCCATCTGTCTGTTCTGCGTGCTTTCAGGCATCTGTCGACCACCATTGACCACGCCAGCGTGTTTGTCCTGTTTTCGCTGAATCACGCGCGTGAGCATCTGGCAGATGGGTTCGCGAGCCAGGGTGCCCGAAGAGGAGGCATTCTCCACCGAGGCCCTGAAGTGCTCTGTGTTTCGTTCGTGCGCACCGGTAAGCCGCCGAGCGACCAGCAAGTGTGATGTGCCGACCCCCCTGCCCTGAGCTAGTTATCGGTGTGTGATTTGTGTGATTGCTTATTTGATTTGATTGTCCACCAGGTGTTGTCATCGATGGGCATCGATGACGAAGTGCTGGACAGCAAGTACCACAAGTGCTACTGTGACAAGTGCTGCCGGGCCAGGGGCGAGCGCAAGGGCATCTACTACACCCGGTGAGCGAGCGGCCACACAGCCATACACACCACACACACCACACACACCACACACGCCCCTCAATGATTCTTTCGTCCACCCCATTCCCATTATTCTTAACCCAGAGGGACCCCCCCGACGATGTACGCCCTTCCCTTTGGTTGGTGTCGCTTCGCCCTTCGGCTGAGCCAGGACGAGCTGGACAAGTTCCGCACCTGGAACGTGTCCTTCCACGGCACACACAAGGACAGCGTCCGCGGCATCGTCCGCGACAGGCGGCTGCGGGTGCCCGACAACAAGTCCATCTTCATCCGGGACGGCCACCTGCCCGACCAGTTCTACTACTTCACCACACCCTCCGTCGTCTACGCGTCCTTCGGGCTGTATGCCGAACCCTTCGAAGTGAGGGAGGGGGGATGCACACACACACACGCAGACAGACAGACACACAGGCTGACTTGTCTATATGTGGCCTGGTGTGGTGTGGTGGTTGCGTTGGTTGGATGGATTGCAGCACGACGGTCAGCTGTGGCAGGTGCTGGTGCAGCTGCTGCAGCGGCCCGGCAGCTTCGAAAAGGGCTTCGAGACGTCGGGACTGGGTACGGCAGGCAGGCAGGCAGGCAGACCAGATGGCAAGACAACGCGATATGTGCCTGCATCCATCCATTTCTCCACCTGTCTGTCTGTGTGTCTGTCTGTCTGTGTGTGTGTGTGTCAGGTATGATCCACCTGGACCCCGGTTTCCCCAACCACGAGGTGGAGTGGAAGTCGAATGTGGACGGTGCGGCGGTGGTGTACGCCGTGCTGGTGCGTCCCATCCCCAACAGGGAGCCCGAGGGGCTGGTCTACCCACACGGCACCTTCTTCAGAATACGCAACTACTCCTGGTACCAGCCCTTCGACGGATCGCCGCCATTCTTCCCCTCCAGCCAGCTGTTCAACAACACCAGCAGTGGCCAGGGGGGGAGCAGCAGCAGTGGCAGCAGCAGCAGGGGGGCAGGTGCTGCTGCGCGGGGCGGGCAGCTCACACAGCAGCTGATTAGGGTGAGTGAAGACGTCATGGGGTCGCACCAGGCCCCTCACCCGCACCCACACCACAGTGCCGCTGTGCCAGCATCCCCGGTCCCCTCGGCCCCCTCCGCCCCTCAGCTGGGCAGCGGCTCACTGTCGAATGCGCAGAACGGCCGTCCCACCCTCCCTCATCACTCGTACGTTGTGAGTGGACACCACCACCACCAGCCCGCCCCCTCCTCACACCCACCACCTCATGTGCCGCCACTTTGGCCACATGTGGCGGGCCAGCCGCCCCCATTGTACTACTATCCCCCTCCTGCTGCCGCTGCTGCTGCTGGTGGTGGTGGAGCACCCTCCCTCCCCCATATGTCGATGCCGGCCAACGTGGTGACGGTGCCGCCCGGGAGCACCGTGTGGATCATGCACACGGGCCGGTAGCACAGGGGGGTATGGGGGCGGGCGGGGCAAGTTTTCCCTGCAGACAGGTCCCTCGCGGCTGAGGCACATGGAATGGATGTGTCCATCCATCCATCCGTCGATCCATCCATCTGTGTGTCTGCCTGTGTGTGGTTGAGATGGCGGGGTGGAGAGGACTTGCTGGCCGACTGAGTGATTTTGTTTGTAGTTGCTCGTGTGAGTGAGTGCTTTTTCCTGTGTGTGGTACCGATGGCTGGCGCGATAAGGACAGATGGATGAATGGATCGATAGACAACAGTGACTGATCTGTGAGAGAGAAAGCTGTGTGTGTGAATGAATGCTCGAATGTTCACACAGAAATGGTCCCATCAGCGAGTCACGGCAGATCAATCAGCTGCATGCATCGAGTGTCACAGACTGGCTGAGCAGCAGCTGCTCTGGCAGCTGGCAAGGCAACTCTGTCTCTCTGAAACAGATGTGCTCCACCGGGTAGGGTAGGGTAGGCTACACCGACCCCCCAGCACCTGCAAACATCAGTGCAGCATACCACACAGGAAATGATGCCGCCGCCTCTCCCTTCCCCAAGCGCCCCCCCTCACCCAGCGAACGAGGCAATCCGAGGACTGCCTGCTCTAGCTCATGTGTTGCCAGCAGAGGTCGGGCGGCCGCCACAGCAGCTGGGAAGCGCTCGATGTCCGTGTTGCCCTTAATCGGGGCCTCGGTCGTGTAGAGGTGGATGTTGCCACTGCCAATCCGCATCCAAGCTTCGATGGTGTCGGTCGCTGCGGTGCCCTTGAAGATGATGAGTCGCTCGCGGCCGTCATCTCCCTGGCCTGGCGGCTCACCCATATAGTCGACGGTCTTGTAGCCCTCGATGGGCTCCGTCAGCAGGGACAGATAGCGAGTGTCGTCAAGGCCGACACGAGCACCCGTCACACGCTTCTGCTCAACGCCCTCTTGACGACACCAGTACATCAGGACCATCCGCTCGATGAATGCCGTGAAGGATGGGAAGAAAAAGTCCCTCCTCCGAATGGGCGGGTCGACGGCACTGTATGCGCTGCGGTAGGGGTAGGCGGGGGGCAGATCGGTGAGGGGGAGCGTCGTGAATTCGACATCGCCGATTCTGTAGCGCTGTCTCGTCACACCACCACCGCCATCGCCCTGCTGCCCTCTGTCCTCATCTTCATCACTGCTTGCCCCCTCCATGTCCTCATCGTCGCCATCACTGTCGCTGTCCTGATCGCCGTCATCTCCCTCCACCCGCCGCAGCTCTAAGGTGGTCCCTTGGTGATGGAGCAAGTGGCCGAATGTGTTGTAGATGGCCAGGGCGAGAGGCAGCTCATCGAAGGCCGCCTTGGTGGCCAGATGGTCGGCCATCCACTGAGGCGACAGCATCAGAGGCAGGGGCAGTGCCTTGATGAGCTTGTAGATGGCCGCCACACGAATGAATTCGGCCATCTCCCGCCACACATGACCTCCTTGCTCGAGCACATAGGCGCACTTGCTGAAGTACTGGAATGTCGGCCGATAGACGTCGATGAGGCCGCTGAGGTGATTGCTGTCGAGCGAGCAGTCGACGCGCTTGAGCATGAAGGCCTCGTTGATGAGTTGTGTGCCGTAGTGGGTGTTGGTTGCACGCGCCGGGCTAATGGCCACGTCGACAGGGAGGTAGCCCACCACACCGTCACAGAACACATCGGACGGCAGCCGGTTGGCCGTCACGTCCACGGCAGTGTCTGGTTGGCAGGGGGGAGGGGGCGGGGCGGCAGAGATGTGGTGGGTGATGGTGGCCACGGCAGCGGAGAGGGTCGACACGCTCGACTTGACAGATGACCACTCATGGGCAATGACGGACGCCTGAAGCCATCACACAGACGACAGATAAGGCGGAATGTGTTGAGCCGCCCCCCTCACTGTGTCTGTGTGACTCACCTGGTCGTCGGTAATGGACGGCATTATCAGCGGGTCGACGGCCGACACCTCAGTGGCCATCTGACACACACACAGAGCAGACACACCACGGCTGCATCCCCCAGTGGGTCGATGTCTGTGTGTCACCCACCTGCTGAATGAGTGAGTGAATGGCCGCCAGCCGACCACAGACATCACCCGACCCCACACACACAGGGGGGGACGCCTGCACACACAGTGAGGCACTCTCAGTGAGACTCAGCCATTCCCACGGTGATGTGTGGTGCCGCACTGCCTCCCTCACCGATGCTGCTTGACTGTGCCCCTCCTGCCGCTGGTGGTGGTGAGCGGCTGTGCCATTCATCGCACCGACGCCTGTCCACCAAACACATACACGATGGTCCGTTGCACCTCTGTCTGTCTGTCTGTCAGTCAGTCTGTCTGTCTGTCTGTCTGTCTGTCTGTCAGTCAGCCAGCCGTGTGTGTGAGATCTCACCAGCATCCCCAGCGGCACGGCCGTCGACACGTTGGCGTTTCGCGTCACCGCCAACACAATCAGCAGACGAAGACCTGTCTGATGGGCACAGGCCTGTCACACATATGAAAATGGGCAGCTGGTGATTGCATGACAGTGATGATCCTCCCATCTTGTGCACATTCATCATTGCCGCCTCACCTCCTTGCGATACGATGCAAATCCGACGCAAAGCAGCTGCTCAGGCACAGAGCTCGACACTCTGAGGAAGACGCACACGACACACATCCAGCACACTCCCAGACTGAGAGGGCGCCTTGTGTTGATGCTCACCTTTTGGCTCGGTCAACCGAGGCTCTCGCAGATTCACCAAGAATCACCAAGCAACCGACACTCGGCTTTCGTCATTGCTGATTTGCAGATCGAAAGCATCCCGCAGCCTGCCATACAATACCACCGGACGACGGCTGGCACCGGACCACTTCTTTTTCTCCTCCTTTGTGGCGAGCTCAAGCTTGCAGCGCAATCTCGGCCGTGGGCAAAGCTGGCCGCCCGACCCCTTCCCCCCTTCCTTCCCCCTTTCTTTCTCGACCTGTCGTTTGCATTGGGGTGTGTTTGTCACCCCCCGGCCCCTCGCACGGCAAAACCGCTGCGAGTTTTCTGCAAACGCCATAAGGATGGACGAAGTCACTGAGGGCGCGAGGAGGGAGAGGTCACTGTGTGGAGCCCTCAAGGTTTTGAGCGCCTTTGTTGAATTCCGGCCCCTTGCAGTCGCGGCTCTCTCTTTTGAAACGATGGTGTTTCCCTGGCTCTTCGTCATCTCCCTTTTCTGCCCCGCTGCCGGCGTCCCAGCATGCCCTGCCCTGGATGCATGGCCACCACTGGCCGAAAAGTGGCTCTCTTTGGTAGGTACCTGCCAGAATAGCCTTATGGCATCGTTAGGCATCGTTTGTGCATGTGCATGCGCTTCTGTGTCTTTGCGCCTGTATGCAGGGATCCTATAGCTTCAACAGCCTCACGTCGGAGTCTTCTCTGGCGTGGGTTGCCAATGGCGTCACTGCATCCATCAGTATTATCAACGGTGATGCCACGATTGCGATGGGGCAGGAGCAGGCCGCATATTTCGATATGGACTTTGATGAAGCAGGAAAGTGCCGCTTTCATCCACGGTTCCCACACACACACGATGTGCATTTCCTCTATGTGCAGGGTTGCCTCTTGACTCCTTCGGAGCCCTTGACGTTAACATTTCATTGTCACAAGTGAGTTTGCCAAGTGTACCAGCAAATCCGAGTTTTTGGAGCGACATCAGACCCAACGGATTCGAGCTGATGAAATCCAGGTTTGGATGACGCACATTCGCACCAGCTGGCTGCATCACCACCTTTGCTATCCTGGACTTTGTCACGAAGGGCCCGAGCAATGCTCGTGTTGGCTCGTTGATCGTCTTCCGCGAACAGGGCGTCCTGAAGGGGGCAATCACCTACACCGACGGCAACGACAATTACATCCAACTGACAGATGAGACATTTCCTCTGGCTGATGACGGCAAGGAGCACGAATACATCTTCGGCGTGCCAACCATCAGCAACAGTGACGGGACCGGACGCATCTTCTTGTGCGAGGATGGCGTCACACTCATAGAGAAAAACAATCTCAACATTGTCACCACCGTCGTCACTGTGGTTCGAGTCGGCTACTCCCTGTGGGGTCAGCACACGAGGGGCAGCCTCATCCTTCATCACCTGCAGTTCCTCGTCCCCGAGCTGCCAGACCTTTACGTCAACGCAGAGACAGGAGACGACGCAAACGATGGAACCACACCTGCCAGCCCTCTCGCGACAGCCGTCCGAGCTGCAGAGATAGCACGAGCCGGCACCACAATCCACCTTGCACCAGGCACTTATCGTGGCCCTCTGAAGCTGAGGGGAAACGGCCGTTCGCAGAAGGCGCTAAAATTCGTCGGGGAGGCCAACAAGACGGCGATTGTCGGCTCTCTTCGAGCTGACTCGCTGCAATGGAGCCACCATGACGGTAACATATATGAAGCAGATGTCAGCGAAGTGTACGACTCTTGGAAACTGACGAAATTGCCGCGGATAGTGTGTGAGGTCGACAGTGCGATGCCCGGTGTGTGTCGGCAGCGTTACTATATTGCTCGCTCGCCCAACTACCACGAGCCGGGCCCTCCATATGCATATAAGCACATCCAATATTGGTGAGGTGGCACACAGCCTGGAGGATCGCCTTGTGTTGTCATTCCTTTGCTGTCGGCAGGTATATGGCCGACGGAGGGGCTGGCGTGCCTTCCTGTACCCCGGCACCACCTGGCCGAAACAGGTGGTGCGACGAAGGTGAGAGTGAGAGTAGGGCGGTTACCTGTATATTCCATCGTTCCATGTCTCTTGACGTGTCCATTCTTGTTTTTGAAATTCAGATTTGTGGTCATATACGGAGCTTACAGATGTCGATCACTTTCCTGATGACGGCAACGGCTCGTATGCCATCCCGCCTCCCGGCATCCAGCCAGCAGCCAACTTAAAGACACTCCCGGATCTCAAGGGCGCGAAAATTTTCATCAACGACGGGAGGTCTGGCTTTTGGACGAAGCGCTTTCAAGTCGCAACGCACAGCAAGCAGGCTGGCAAACTCATCATCAACGAGGATTTCTTTTGCCGCGACCCTGAAATCATCTGCATTCGAGCCTACGCCCAGTACTTCGTCTATGACAAGTTGAACCTTCTGGACAGTCCTGGGGAGTATTGGTTTGACGAAGCAAACCAGAGGCTCTACATGTGGAAGAACGACGGAGTGGACTGGTCTGAGATCGAGATAATGGGCGACGTGGACTCAAGCGATGAGGCGACAGGCATCGACCTCTCGGGAAAGTCGTTTATCACTATTGATGGCGTTCGTGTCGCTTTCTTCCGGAGAGGCGTCATCGAGTCTGGCAAGGTAGGATGCACATGCCATCTACCACTTGCGACTGATTCACCCATCAATATCCACCTCTCTTTCCTTCAGGAAGGTGAACCCCTCTCACAGCATGTGACTCTGACAAACTGCCACTTTCATGCCATTTCTGAGGATGGCATCCGCCTTTTCCGCACTCTCGACAGCAATGTTCCAGGGCGAAAAACACAGATGTTGACCATCACCAACAACGTGTTCTCCGAAATAGACGAATTTGCTATTTGGTCTGGTCCAAGCTTCTTGCAAACAGACGGAAGGTCAGTCAATCCTCTTGGCGCTGCACGGCGTGCAAGGGGAAAAACAATTGTGTCTTCTTTTCACTGATGTGCGTGGTTGCATGCTGATGCAGCTCGGAACAAGGGCGAGACCCAACGAATGCTGAGGTCAGTATACGAGATCTCTACGTGGCCCACAACTACTTCACCCGCATCAGCTTCCACTACAAGAACCCATTCACTCAAAGGATGTTCGGTCCCGCAGCCGTCTCATTCATGGCTGCGACGAATATCACGTTCGTGCACAACGTGATAGAATACGTTGGTATGATGCAAGACATGCATACAATGTGACAAAGCTCATGCTTGTTGTGCCGTGTCTTGTTCTTCTGCGTGCAGGCGGCTATGCGCTTTCAATGCGCTACGTAAAACATGGATCGGACGGAACCCCGTACGCTACTGCCGATGATGTCAGATACGGTGAAAACTTGGCCGCCTGGAACGAAATGCGCATGGCTTCGTTGGTCAAGGCCGACAGTGGGATAATAGCGGTCTCTGGGGCAAAACCTTTCAACACGCTCTTTTATGAGGTCAGCTGAGACACAGTGACGATTCGCCTGATGCCTTTGATTTTTACTTATGATTCCAATGGATTGCCTTCAGAACCACATGGACAATACATTTGGTTGGACAGGGACGGGCAGCAGGAAAGACAGCCCGATGGGTACGAAGCCGTCCGGTGCGCCTTTGCACATGAATCCGTGCATTTACTGTGATACGCATATGTGCAGGTGCGGGAAGTGGCATGTATCAAGAGTGGATCGCCGGGGTCAGCCTCATATGTCACGAAAAGGAATGGGGCTGGCTCATCCCGGGCTGTCCATGATTGCAGGGCGTATACTTTCGTAATGTGGTGTGGAACGTTGTGGTAAGTGAGGAAGAGATGGCTGTAATTCATCCATGATTACGTGCCTTTGTGCAACAGGAAAAGGCCTTCACCTACCATTGCAGTGAAGAGATGGAATGCCATGTCATCTTTCTGAACAACATGCTTGCCCGGTAAGGGCATATCGGAAGAGACACGCTCTCAAATTACGCTTTCGGTGTGAATTCTGTGCTGCAGAGCCAGAAGGTGTGTGAAACAAGACGAGCGTCAGCAGAGCATTCCAGCAAAATCATTCACATTGCACAACAACCTTTTCGTCTCCTGCTCGGAAGCCACGGACTTCGACCGTCCAGACAGCCCTCCTTTCAGCAGAGATTGGTTCGATGTCGACTACAACATGTACTACGACATTAGGTATGAAGACGGCTCTCCCGGATTGGTGCTGCATCTGGAACACGGCCCCAAGTCTGACAGAGAAGAATTCACATATAACACACTGGCGGACCTGTCGGCTGCATCAAGCGGAACCTGGCTTGAGGGATGGGAGGCACATGGATCCGAGACGGCCTATATCGGGCACAACTACAGACAACAGAACCTGCCGCCACATACAAATGACGTCAACACTGCTCCATACATCTCTCACGACAAAGAATGGTTCAAAACTCAACCTGCCCAGGTGCGAGACAAAGAAGGCTCTCTCTACATTTGCACTTCCCTTTTCCTTGACTGTCAGCGCGGGGCCTCGAACCCCTCGTTCCCCGCCGAGCTGGAGCGTCTTCTGCGTCGCTATGACATTTGTGTGCCCATGGCGGAGGACGAAACGACACTCACGGTCGGTCCGTACTCGTCAGGCGAGGACAAATGCTTCAAGGGTATCGGAAAGCTGGGTGGTGCCCCTAACCTTGGAGAGCGTCCTACGACCCTGGAGCTGTCCACACAGGAGCCTACGACGCTCGAGCCGACCACAGATGCCCCGAGGACTGATGCCCCAAGTACTGAGCAGCCCAAATTGGAGCAGCCGAGTACTGAGCAGCCAAGCACTGATGCCCCAAGTACTGACGAGCCGTCCACACAGGAGCCTACGACGCTCGAGCCGACCACAGATGCCCCGACCACTGATGCCCCGACGACTGATGCCCCAAGTACTGAGCAGCAAGTGGTGCCTGCATCGTCTCCCCTGCCCTACCCCTGTCCGTCTCTGAGCAGCAAGTGGCCTTCACTCGGCCAGACGACCATTTTCGGCCAGTACACTTTCGATGACGAGCCCACGATGTGGACATTCGGCGGCACCACGGCTAACATCGTCCGGACGAACGGCAGGGCCGAGATCACTCTCGCTGCGGCAGATGAGGCCTACATGGATCTCAACTTCGCCAACACGGCCGACATGAACTATGCAGCCGTCGTTTTCACCGTCACATGGTCGGAGATGCAGCTCACCCCTGTGGCTGGCGGGTTATTTCACAACCACATTAAGCAGCGTGGTTTTGAAATTGTGCGTATGGCCGAGCTTGCGCCGACATTTGCCAGAGCTGTCTCCTTTATCGTCTATAGAGACACATCGGGCGCTCTTGGGGGGATAATCGGATATAATGAGGGCCACCCGTCAGGGCCGTTTATCGACGGCAGCTACAACCCGCTAGTTGATAATTTCTTCCTGCTCAAGGATGACTCTGAGCCCCACACGTATGCCGTTGGATACGCGCTGCCAACGGGAGACATCTTTGTGTGCGAAGATGGCAGCACAATCTTTCAGAAGACGAACCTTGCGATTTGGCCTTCGACGGTGAGACGCGTACGGGTGGGGCACGCCGCCTGGGCGGACGAGGCTATCGCAGGTAAGATCGTTCTCGAGTCCGTAAGTTTGTTCTTACCGCAATCTGCATCACAGTGTTATGGCGACACTACATGTACTGATCCTTCCCGTATCTAGTCTGACACCGTTTAAAAGGCGCGCAATGTAGTCATGTTCGTTGTACTACTGCAGCTGTACTCTCGTGCGCCTCCGTGTAGCTGTGCTGTGACCAAGATAGAAGGCGTTCTTCGTGTTTCGCTTTCGCGATGGAGGCCGTGACGCATTTGAACGAAAGCGGCGCTTTCATTCTTGTAGCTGCGTGGAGGTATCTGCAGTAGATATCCTCAGAGAAAGAGTAGAGGTGTACATGTTGATTGGATTATTTGTATGAGGGAGATTGTCTAATTCTCCACACTGTCTGCATTTTTTATCCACGGAGACAAGTCTTTTCGCTGTCTGTCACGGGAAGTGGCAATCGTAACAGACCTATGAGTTGACAATCGCTGAGAATCGTAAAAGTGTGTGTGTGTGTGTATGTGTGAAATCATCGCAAGGCAGTGTACGCATTCATGCACTGCCTGAATTTGTGGACTGAGTAGCTGCTGCTTCAATGGCTGACCTGATGAGGACTGTCGTCTGGATCAACACCAGCGGGAAGCCACCCACACCGGTATGTTGTATTCCACATTGAAGACACGACATAACTGTCTCCATTCTCCCGCCGATACATCCAAATCAGCAAGCCAAGGCAACACAATCGCAATCAGTCAGCCAAATCGAAAAATACTTGTACACTCGAGGAGAGAAAATCACTGTCTCGTTGGACTCTCGTGGGAGTCCAGAGAGAGCACCAAAAACCATACAAGCCTTACACGGGTCGACCACCTTGACTCACTCACAATCGCTGGATGAAGCAAGAGGTGGATGGCGGCTGGCCAAGGGCTTACATTAGTACAGCCATCACCCAGTTCACCGATAGACACCTCTGCCTCGCTCGCACGAAATATAAAGTCAGTGACTGATGTAGACCCAAGTGACCGATGAAAGGCCCCCTCCCCCTCTTGCACTCTCCCGCCCCCGCTTCTCTCCTGCCAGATCTGAGCGGGCAGCTGCCTGCTTCGGTTTCAGCATAGATCATGTGCCTCGAGTCGAGTCTCACACGCCGTTCGTCAGACATCCAGCTCTTGAGAGATCTTCCGAAATATCGCCCTTCGGCTCTCTGATATTCGCCTGTAATCAGCCATCTGCACACACACAGGCACAGGCACAGGCACACACACCGACATGACAACAGTCATATCTGCGTGGCTGCAGCACTGATACGTTCATTCAACTCAGAAAGGACCTCACTCACTCACTCACTCACTCACCCCGGCATCCTGGGCGACACTCTCCTCCCCCGTCTCCTCGTCTGTCTGCGTCGACTCGTTCTCTGTCGGCACCCGATGATATAAGTCGCTCGACGGCGTGATGGCCCGGAGGTGTGCATGCGGGTCCCGCGAACTGGAGATGTCGTTGGCCCATAAGCACAGGGCGCATACGATTGCCACGCAGGTGATGATAGCTAAGATGGAGAACATTAGATGCCAATTGCCACCGATCCAGCCCTTGACAAGCAGCAGCACCATCGCAGCAGTGTTGTCAGAAATTCCCATGCTGCTCAATCACACACACACACACACACACAGAGGGAGAGAGGGAGAGGCCATTGATTGATTAATTGATTGACGGACGAACGAAGTGACTCGGCGGGCCGGCTGGCCGTGCTGTTTGTTATATACATGGAGCAGGCGGTCCCCTTCAGTCTTTTCCCGCCGATCTCAGGCGCAAACACGGCACCTGCACTCCCACACGCCCCGCACAGAGAACCAGTCGTGTGGACACACACTCAGACATAGATGTGATGAGCGGCTTGCTGACCGATCATTTTGTAGGGTCCGAACAGCATGAGGCCCGCGACGGCCAATGATGTCACCGCCACGCCAAACGAGACAGTCCCGCCATTCGAGTGCTTCCACATTGGGTTGCTCGCGTTCCACAGCAGACCCAGACACACCAGCAGCACAAACAAGGGCAGCAGAAGCACTGACGCCCTGTGCCGCTTGGGCAGCCAGTCCCGCAAACGGCCGATGACGAGCGTCGACACGCAGCCAAGCAGAGTAAATAGCGCCGATGCCCGTCCGGCCGTGGCGGCCGCGACGTGGGAGGTCAGGCAGTTGTGTGGGACCAGCTGCCGGTTGCCCTTATTGGCGCAGAAGGAGTGGACGAGGAGAGATGGCGAGTAGAGCAGGAAGAGCGTGCGGACACTGTAGAGGCAGCCCGACAGCAGAGCCAGTAGCCACAGGTTGGGGTGCTTGAGAAGGACTATTGCCCGCTGCCTGAAGGGCTCCCTCTCCTCTTTTGTCTTGGTCTTCTGGATGGCCGTTTCCTCCTCGCCCGGCGCGTTCTTGACGAAGAACACCACAGGCAGCATCAGACAGAGGGCGAAGCCAGCAGCCCTGTTGCGTTGGATCAAACAGAACACACAGACCCATCCCATGAGCGAGTGAGTCCTAGAAATCGTTCTGTGTTCCCCGCACCAGAAGAAGATTGTGCGCCAGGGAAACACGATGATGATGCTGCTTAGGACGCTGCGGGCTATGACGTCGCCTAACTGGGGCGCCATGCTCACCAGCCTGACAAACGACAACAACCACCAGTGCAATCGATGCCTTTCGCTCGACGTCGTTGCATCGCACCCCATCAGTGTGCCGTAGTGTGCAGTGGGCACCCAGTTGGTGCAGAGCGCCACAACAGACACCCAACACAGACCCAGCGCGAAGTAGCCGTTATAGGCCCTGCACGGCACGCACAAAGAGAGAGAGAGAGAAAAGCGGCACCAATGGCATTCCATCGTCACCACAGCAATACGGCGCCAGTCAGTCAGTCAGTGAGTCATTGAGAGTGAGTTTGCTCACCAGACGATGAGGAAGAGCGCAAACTGCCACCCGGGTGCCGCCAAGACGGTCTGGTGTGGGTGCTTGGGGTCTCTTGGATAAGCCACGGGTGTCGGATTCGTGTACACCAGGAGACCTACACGACAAGGCACCAATCAACACACACACACACACACACATGGATGTAATGAATGTCCGGACATTCCTTAAGGCAGTACCAAAGAGTATGGAGGTCACCACATAGCCGAGTCCGGCAAGGACAAAGACGAACTTGCCGCCCCGCGCGTCGCTCAGCACACCAGCCGTGACCTTGCCGAAGATGCTGGCAGCGTATGAGATGGCCAGAATGATGCTCAGCCTGACGCAACAAGTCATCCACACGAAGACGGCAGATTGATGTTCTGACGAGTGTTCTGGCATGGCGCCTACCTGCTTGGGGAGATGAACAGCTCTCCCTCAAACAGAGTCTCCACTATGTAAAGGTCACTTATCGCGAAATCTGCTAACACACAGAGCAACATCCGTCAATCCCGAAGAGATTGCCTCCCCTCGTGTTGTGCTGTGTACATTTGCCGAAGTATGCGACGCTGGCCATTGCCAGCACCGCCCAGCACACGCCGGGCCGCTCATGGTAGCTGAGAGTCCGCCGGCTGACCTCCTTGTGCACCAGCAAGCTGTCAGATGCAGTCGCGTCGTTGGCCTCCTCTGCTGCTGATCCGCTCGGTGCAATTTCGACCGACGTGTCCGGTGTGTTGGCCATGTGACGCTCTTCAGTGGCCCACACTGAGGCAGATCTTCCAATCAACAGATCTTCACGGCAGCTTCCTACTTGCGCCCGATACTGTGGTCCTCTCAGCCCGTCGTTGCCTGGTTGCGTCCGTGCGACCCCGAGCGAACGCCTGCGAGATCTCCGCCATGAAGCTCGCAGGTGCGAACGAACGAACGAACGATTGAATGAGAGGATCGAATCCTCATGGTTACGGGGACGTCGAAATCGATTGAATAATGAGTCTGTCCGCCTTCAGCAAGCATGCGAATCTTTCGCTAGTCAAAACGGAACAACAGGCAGGCAGCCAGCCTGTCGCTTCTATGCACACGCACCATCCACATTCACACGCACATGACCCCTCACAGGCAGGCCACCCCGCACATGCTGCACAACAAACAGCAATCCATACATCCAGGCGAAACCTCTCTCTACTCAATCTAGATATCTATCGATCACTCTATCAACTACTGCAGCCTGGAGGTGACGCTGCTGCTGCTGGCCCCCTCTACTGCCGTGCTCTCCGCCACTTTGGCTGACTGCTGCAGGGGGGCGTTGTCCCACAGGGTCGTCACCGGCGCGTCCGACGCAGCCACAGACGACACAACTTGCTCGGCCTTGACGCACACCTCGGCCGCTATCGACTGGCGGTAATGAGAGAACAAAGGCAGAGGTAGAGGCACACACAGGTGGGTGGCTGGATGTGTGTGTATGTGTGTGTGTGTGTGTTACGTCGATGTCTTTGGTGCCGTCGATGGCATGCCAGTAGGGCTGTGTGCTGAAGTGCATATAGCTGCTGTACACCCGCCGCTGGATCTCCAGCTTCTCGTAACGCTCCGCACCTACGGGACAACATAGGCAGGCAACAAACACAAGACACACAATGAATGCTGCTCTGCTTGTGCCGTGCTGGATGTGGTGCTGTGGGTGCCGGCCGAGCTTACTTACTGACTCACTCACTCACCGTATCCCTTTCGCCTATTGGCCTCTTCTGGCGACACGTCGATGTAGAAGACCGTGTCGGGCGCTATCAAACCACTGTCGGCGTTCTTGCACCACTCCAGAGGCAAACCCTGCACACACAAGACAACAAGGCAGCAGGCAGCTGTGTGTGGTTCATGTGTGATGATGGTACACAACAAACACGTGAGGTGAGCTGACTGACCTCGGCTCCCGACGAGTATGCGACGCCCGAGAATGCGTATCGGTCCGATATGACGGTCGTGCCAGACAGCACCGCCGCCTGGATCTCACACCTGCACACATGGGAGTGGTGGCGCATCCATCGCACACGTACACACACGGTGAGTAGCATGGTGCACTGCACTGCACCTGCCCTGTGTGTGGTGCAGTGGTGTCATGGCAAGTGCTGCTCAGACTCACTGTTTCTCCCATCTGTCGGACGAGAAGAGGTGGTGGCAGGTGCGCTTGGTGAAGTCGATGTCTTTGCGCAGGAAGGCGTCTATCAGCTGGCCCAACGGACCTTCACGATCTGAATGAACCATACCACACACACACGGACAGACACGCCAGGCCATGTCTGTGTGTGTGCAGGGACAATGGCTGGCTGGCTGGCTAGCTGCCTGCCTGCTTGTCTGGCTGGCTTACTCGGGAATCGGATAGCCTTGACGTCGTGCCCCTTGTCCTTGAGACTGGCGGCCAGCCGCTGGGACTGCGAACTCTTACCCGACCTGCACACACACACACACACACACCGAGAGAGAGAGTGGTGCTGGTGCAATCAGTGTTCGTCCTCCCTCCCTCCCTCCCATGTCTGTCTGTCTGTCTGATCAGACCTGTCGAGTCCCTCGAAGACGATGAATGCACCTCGTGGCATCGCTCCCACACACGAGGCGCCCCTCTGCTCACGATGTACACTCCGCCTGCTGCCGACACGCTGCACCAAATAGCCCGGCGAGGCTTTGCAGAGTGTCTGAAACAGCAGGCCGCTGCCGCCCTGCCGGTTTAGTGACGCCGCCCCTGAGCTGGTCAACCACACCAGCAAGAGCAGCAGGAGGCACCAGAGGGCGCTGCTCGTCCGCAGCAAGTCATCCCATGAGCAGCCGCGTGGAAGATCTGGCATCCGTCGAGCGGGGATGATGGAATGGCATCGTTTGGGAGTCCAGTTCAGGTGAGGTGCGCTTCTCCCTCCTGTGCGAGCTTGAAATCGTAGTAGATCTCATCTTCAGCATCTTTTCCCGTCAGCAGGACGAGGCGCATCTCCTCCTCCTCCAACCAACCCAAGATGCCTAAGGGGCGTGATGCCAAGGCAGACAAGGCGGGCAAAGATGAGCCATCACCCGGTGATGCCGCCTCCTCTGCGGCTGCATCCCCCTCCCCCAAGAAGCCAAGAGGTGTTGCAACCAAGCGGTGGTTCGTCTTATCGACTGGCGCGGTCGGGGCCATAGTGGCGGTGGTGGTAGCGGTGTGGGCCGTGATGCCCAAGGAGCGGGTGGAGATGGAGCTCAAGGCAGCCGAGATGAAGAAGTGGCTGGACAGCACGCTGCAGCCCTGGTTCAACACTTCCTCGCCCCTGCCCCTGGAGCGGCGGCTCAAGGACAAGGGCATCAAGGCCAAGCACCCGGTGCTGTTTGTGCCAGGCCTGGTGTCGAGCCAGCTGGAGGTGTGGAACGCCCTCGAGTGCTTCGGCGACGACCGGCGCTGGAAGATCTGGGGCGGCGTGGACATGTTCACGGCCGTCCTGCAGAACACCAGCTGCTGGCTCGAGCACCTCACGCTCGACGAGAAGACCGGACTCGACCCCTACGACGGAGCCATCAAGATGCGGGCGCAGGAGGGATTCGCATCCGTCGACTACTTCTTCCCGGGGTAGGTATGTATGTGTGCAGGCAGGCCAATCTCACTCGCTCCGGCAGGCAGGCGGCACATGCAGTCGTGTGGCTCTGTGTGGGTGATGGATTGGTATTTATGTGTGTATGTGTGTGTGCTGTGCGTATGCCCACCTAGGTTTTGGGTGTGGGGCAAGCTGACGGAGGTGTTGGGCTCGATTGGCTACGACCCCAACTCCTTAATGACCATGAGTTGGGACTGGCGGCCCTCATTTGACAACCTGGAAGTCCGAGACAGACTTCTGACCAAGATGGTGCACACCACACCACACCGCACCAGACACATGACCGTGACCATCAGTGCCACGCAATGGCCTGCTTGCCCTGCCCTGCCCTGCCCTCCCTGCCCTTGGTGTCTGTCGATGCATGTCCGTGTGTGTGCAGAAGCGTCGCATCGAGGATTTATACGAGTTCAACGGCAAACAGAAGGTGGTGTTGGTGTCGCATAGCCTCGGGTCGCTGCTGACGTTCTTCTTTTTCCAGTGGGTGACCTACCACCACGACCCCAAATGGGTCGACAAACACATTCACTCATGGGTCAACATCGCTGGGGCTCTCCTCGGTCGGTGGCGGTACACCACACGGAGGGAAGCCAGTGAACCAGGCTGGCTGGCTGGGGGGGTGCATCATCCGTCAGTGTGTGCGCGCGTGTGTGTGTGTGTGTGTGTGCAGGTGTGAACAAGTCCACTTCGTGTCTGTTCTCCGGCGAGATGAAGGACCTGAATATATTTGGGCCTGTCATCAGGTGAGTCAGTCAGTGAGGCACCCAGACAGACAGACAGACAGGGAGACAGGCAGGCAAGCTTCACGTGCATCCCCCGTTGTGAGAGACTGCGTGAGTGTGTCTGCTTCAGGTACATAATCGACAAGATCCTGCCGCTCCCAGACCGAGTGCGGCTCTGGCGGTCCATGGGCACCATGAGGCACATGGTACGCACACACGGACACTATACCATAGCACACACGCGAGAGGGGAACCACACGTGAAAAGAATGAGCCACTCACTCTTCTGCGTGTGCGCCTCTGTCTGTCTATCTGTCTGTCTGTCTGTCTGTCTTATCCATCAGATTCCCAAGGGCGGCGCGCGTGTGTGGGGCCATTTGGGCGAGCCGACCTTTATGAAGTTCCCCGCCTCTCCCGAGCTCGATTTGCCCTTTGACGACTTTGTCGGCTGGGCCAACAGTTACCTGGACAAGGCAGCCGACCTCAACACGTGGCTGGACAAGGACACCTATGTCAGTATGCCGCCTCCCGACCAGCCCTTGCCGACGTTCAGGGATGCATCCGACGCCATCAAGTACTGGCTGAACCCCCTGGCCGCCCCCCTCCCGTACGCCCCCAACATGAAGGTCTTCTGCACATATGGTGTCGGCATCCCCACCGAGCGCAACTATCTCTACCAGAAGATGCCAGCCACACACATCAGTAACCACAACCAGCAGCAGCCGACGGCCACTGACCAGGTGCTGACGTCGGATCAGCGGCTGGTGGACCTGCCCGTGCAGATGATTCCGCCCCACCAGGTCAGCGGCCTCCTGGCCAACCTGTCTTCGGCAACGACGAGCGCCCGCGACGCGTGGGAGTGGCCCCCTCTGGCCAGTGACCCGCGCGGCAAGGTCGAGGTGCTCGACAGCGTGGTTGTGTCCGACGGGGATGTGTCGGTGCCGCTCGAGAGCCTGGGCCTCATGTGCCAGCTGTGGCGCAACACCAAGAGGTACAACCCCTCTGGGGCGGCTGTGCGGGTGCGCGAGGTCTACCACAACATATCCATGACGCAGGAGCTCATGCGCGACAGCAAGAGCGGCAACCACGTCGACATACTCGGCAATGAGGACATACTCGAGCTCGTCGCCCGGGTCGCCAGTGGGGACGACCCGACTGACGAGCGCACCTTCTCTCTAATTCAAGAAATCGCACACAAAGTCGTCAACAACGAATTCACATGAGGGAGAGGGGAGGGAGTGGCGGACTGGCGGACACACACAGAGGGAGGGAGGGAGGGAGGGAGGAAGGGAGAGGGGGAGAGAGGAAGTCATGATGAAGGTGATGTGACTGTGGACATACGGGCTGTTGGTTTTGGTTTCGGTTTTCCCACGTCGGTCACTAACTGGGCTGAGCTATGTGTGTGTGTCTGTGTGTCTCTGTGTGTGTGTGTGCGTTGGTCTTTCTGTCTGTGCGGCGCTGTGTGTCCCTCCCTCCCTGATTTGCGTGTAGAGAGAGATACATGTATGTAGCTGCGAGCAGCGGGTGGGTGGTGGCTGGCAGTGCATTGATTGATTGCATGTGTGTGGACGTGCCGAGGAAGGACCACAGACAGACAGATCACATTTCGGGTGAAGGTGAGATTCGCAGACTTCAGTGCACGTGATTTATGTTATGTATGCCTGCCTGCCGTTTGGATCGACACACACATGGTGGAAGTTATACGCCCAAGGCAGTATGTGGGCGTCCCTCCGCAGAGCCTCTGAAACGATATATAAAATCAGAGGGGCGATCCTGGCACGTTTACAACTCGGCGAAAAAGGCGATCAAAGATGGCAGGCGGGGAGGCCACACCTCTATGTGGCCACATCGACGGCGAAACGGCATCATGTAACTGGAAAACCTTCGCGGTCCTGGCAGCGTCAGCTCTCTTTCTGTCCGCATCCCTCTCAGCCAACACAACATGGCCATTGCTGTCGCTGCCACGCCATACCATCAACCAGTCCAGCAACCACAGCAGCAGCACCACCACCACCACAGCGGGACTGCACCTCAACGGCGGCGGCCACCTGGATGCCGCCATTCCACCAGCAGCAACATCAGCAGCGTCCAACGACTCGTCTGCTGCAGTAGATCGGGAGCTTGAAGCCTATGTGGTCACACTGGGCGGGCACATGCATTCCTACGAGCGGCGCCTGGTGCCCCTGGCCGCTTAGCTGCACGCCAGCAGAATCCCCCTCATCCCCCTTGCCGCATACCCAAACATGACCAACGCCCTCTACGGAGAGTCCCTCCTGGTCACAAACACAACACCATGCGCAGAGAATGACCATGTTGTGGTGTGTCACTCAGGACAGCTTCCGCGCCACCATACAGCTGGCGCTCGGCACCGGCCTGTTCGACAGGGGCGGCATGATGGTCTACCTCGAGGACGACACTGGGCTTGTTGATGGCTTCAGGCGAGAGCTGCTGAGGACTGTGAGGGACCTGCCTGACTCATGGGAGGTGAGAGGCTCTGTTGCTTTGCACATTCATGCCTCACTTCTCCTTCTCATGAAGGTGCTGCACCTCTGTCCGGGATTCCTATGGGGCCACCGCATCAAGACCGGCAAGACCGTGCGGCTCTACGACCCCTGCTTTGCCTTTAAAGGACGGCTCGACCCGAACCCACCAGCGGGGGTGCGCAAATACATCCTTTCGCAGGCGAAGCGCACGCCCAATGGCCGCGCATTCAGCCCCAGATGGCCCTGCCCGCCGAAGAAGGGCTGTCCCAAGAAAACTGTCAACTGGCCGGGGGCACCGACGGCCATGGTGGTGCGGAATGCCCGCGCAGCGCGGCGGCTGCTGCATCAGTGCGACAAGGAGCGGCGGCTGGCTGAGAGGCGGCCGATAGACGTCTTCCTGCAGGCTCATATAGTGGCAGGAAGGGTGCTGGCGGCGGCGGAGCCCCAGCTGTGCTACCATCGGTATACGGGGGGCTCGGTGAGGGGAGAACACTCATACTGACTGACTGAATGACTCACTCCATAGCTCATCTGCTGCTGTGTCTGCCGTACGCTGGCGTCGTGGTGGCGTGTGTGTGGCGTGTTGTGCAGTGGGTGGCGTGAGTGGGTCGCCGCGATGGATGGATAGATGGATGGATGATGGGTGGGTGGGTGGGTGGTGTGGAGGTGACTCGCTGGCTGTCAGCTGTCAGCTGGTCACCATTGATTGAATCAGATCAGCCGACCACTCATCCACAGTGCTCAGGCAGCACCACAGGACAAAACAACAACCACCCCTCAAAGCACAACACAAGACCACCCATCCGTCCCCACAGCCCCTGCATTGCATGGTCACGTCAGATCGCGTCACGCCGCACCTTTCCTCTGCTGCTATTTTGTTTGTTTTTGTCTTGTCTTTTGTTGGCCTTGTCGATGGCCGCCCGCTTGGCCTTGAGCTTAGCGGCCGCCTCCTGCTTGCTCTTCTCCGTGTACTGAACACACATTTAGCACACACACACACACACATCCACACAACACAGAGAGGGGAGGCGAGTGAGGTGCAGTCCAGGTGAGAGACCCACCTCGATTCGGTGGAGGAGTCGGCGACGCTGCACGCAACGCACACAGCCACACACACACAAGGCATGAAATGCGACGGACGGACGGACGAGGGCGCCGGTGTGTTTGTGCGCGATTCCAACCTTTTTCGAGAGCAGCGCCTTGGCCCGCTCTCTCTCCTCTTCCTCACGCAGCTCCCTCCTACACACACACACACACACACACGCACGCACGCACAGCCAGCATAGAGAAGGGCAGAGCAATCCACAGCCGTCCGTCAAGGCGACGTCAGATTCCAGCTGCTCAGTCGGGGCTCGCTCACGTACTTGCTCTTGGTCTTTGGTGGGGCCTCCTCCTCCTCCTCCTCCTCCTCAACCTCAACCTCAACCTCATCTACTTCTTCTGCCTCCTCTGCCTCTTCGTCTGCCTCCTGGGCTTCTTGCTCAGGCTCATGGTCAACGGTGGCCTTCCGCTTGCGAGACGACCCCTGCTGCTGCTCCTTCTCCTGCTGGTCGTCGTCAGCCTCATTGGCTGCTGTCGTGGGCTTCTTGTTGGGTTTCTTCTTGGCCTTTGCTGACGTATCGGCTCGCGCAGAGTAGGACGTGCCCTGACACAAACACAAACACAACACCATGAGCACAGACACGACAGATGGATTCTCTCATGCGAGCAGAGACAGAGAGAGACAGAGAGAGACAGAGAGAGGGCAATGGTGTGTGACCTACCCACCCACCTTGGCTTCCATGTCGAGTTCACTCATGAAGTGGACCTCTTTAGCCAGCCGCTCCTGCCGCGTCATCTCGTCCTCCTCCTCCTCCTCGTCGCCTGACGACCCCTCGCCCTCGAGCTCGTCATCCTCGCCAACCACACGGCGCTCGTCGCCCTCATCTAGGTGGATGACCACATAGCATATGCACCACCACACACTTGGTAAGAAACCAGGGCGAGAGGGGCAGAGGGGGGAGGGGGGAGGGGATTGCTTATCTACTTTCATCGATGAGTTTGCTCTGTCGCTGCCGCTCCTTGATGATGGCGTCGAGCAGCTCCCGCTGCTTGGGCACATAGCCCTCCCTCACGTCGTCCTGACGGCGGTCAACCATCACGCCAACACATCCATCCATCCATCCGTCTGTGCTGCACTTGGGTGGCTGCCCGGGTAGTGGGGCATACCACGAAGGGCGAGAGGTGGGGCGGGAGAGTCTTGCCGGGTTTGTATGGCTGGATGGGCAGCAGCACGCCGCTGTTGAGGCTGTCGAAGACCCACTGTGGCTGCACCACCTCGCGACACCTCAACAGCTCCTCGGGCGCACACAGACGCAGCGCTGAAGACAGCACGGACACACACACACACACAGAGACAGACAGACAGCAGCATAAGTAAGCCCACACGCGCTGTCGTGTCGCCGTTGGTCAATCACTCAGTGTGGCCGGCCGTACCTTCAGGCGGCCTGTCGACGATTTGGTGGGTGATAGCTGGGTCGGCCTCGCCAAACGGAGAACCCTCCCCCTGCACAAATCGTGTGTGTGCTATGACATGGCCATGTCACTGGCTCACCCACCCTCTCACTCACTCACTCACTCAGTCACTGACCTGCCAGCCTACTCGCCCCCCGCAGCTGAGCACAGCCAAAGCCAACGGTTGCAGCGGCACCTCTCTGAACCAATCCATCGAACGACGAGTGAGATACACACACACACACATGTGGGTGGGGACAAGAGAGTCTGTCTGTCTGTGTGTCTGTCTGTCTGTCTACCGACCGACCCACCGGTTGAGGAACAAGACGAGCTGAGCGAAGAGCTTTTTGACGTGAGCAGCTGCAGCCTCCTTCTCCTGAGGTGGTACATAAAGACACATTACAGGCACATGAGGTCTGCCGGGCGGGCTGGCTGGCTGGCTTGGGTGGAAGCATGCCTTGATTTCCTGGAGGATGGTCGAGTCTTCAAAGTCTTTCGTGTCCACCGCTGGGCCATCGGGGCCACCCTGACCCGCACACAATGACAAACGGATTCACACACACAAGAGACGAAGGTCAGTCCATCCCGTCCGTTTGCCTGTGTGCGTGCCACTGACCTCCTCGTCGGCATCCTCTTGGCCCTCTTCGCCCTCCTCCTTGTCGCCCTCTGCCAAGTCATCCAGCCGGCCGCCCATCCCCTCTATCCGCTTGCCCTGGGAGCCCTCACCCCCTCCTCCACCTCTGGCGCCCTCTTCCTCCTCCTCCTCCCCCTCCTCCTGCTGCTGCTGCTGCTGCTGGCGGTTGCCCTTGCCGTCGGCCGTCATGGTGATGTGATATGCAAGGAATCCCACGCCGGCCTTGGCGCGCCGCTTGACGAGTGTGGGTGGGTATGTGTAGCCCTTCTCGAGGCAGAGCTTGAAGTTGACGGCCTTGAGCATGGTGAGGTAGAACTCTAGGAAGCTCATGAGGACCCGGAAATCGACCTCGGGCGGGGTGTCCTGGGGGAACTGGTGGGGCAGCAGCCACGTGACGGCCTGGCCCAGCAGCTCAGCCTGCAGGTAGTACCCCTTCACCGACACAAACACCCTGCGCATCGCACCCGCGCGCGCCACCAGGGCGTGGAACTCGTTGAGCAGCCGGGTGCTCTCACGGATGCACTCGGACGGGATCTCCTTGTCGTCACGCACAGGCAAAGCCGCGAACACGCTGACCGTCGACAGAGCGTCGTCCAGGTCGCGCAGCGCGTCGACGAGAGTGGGGTACCTCTCCTTGACCAGGTGGTGCAGCGTGTACTTGGGCTTGCGGCTGACCAGGTCCTTGGCCTTCGACTGCTGCTTCCGCCCGAGGGCCTTCTTGTACTTGCGCTGGAAGACCTTTTGCTCGCGCAGTTTGTCGATGAGTGGCTCGTGTGAGAGGAAGAGGATGTCCTTGCGGTGGTAGTAGGTCTTGTCGCGCCCCTTGCGCTTCTTCTTGGGGTCGCGCGGGTAGATGCCCTTCAAGATGCACAGCTTCCGAAAGTCGGCCAGCGACACCTGGAGCTTTCGCAGCACCTCCGCGCGAGTCAGGTAAGCCGCAGCCTCGCCCTTGGTCCCCTTCTTGACCTTCTTCATCCTCCGGAGGATGTACCAATCACACCGATCGGCCGACGAGATGACAGATCACGCCACAGCGGATGACGGCCTCTCACACGACTAGGCCGACATTCACTCCCCTCACTCCTCCTTGTCCACCAGCACGTGGGAGGCCGACTAGGGTGCTCCACGAAACCGCTGCTGACGGCGAAAAATCTCTATCCCGACGGCGAAAATCTCAGAGATGGCTTAACTGCAAGGATCCGTCCTTAACTGCTTTCTGCCTTGCGAAAGCCGAGAGCTCGGCCCCACGAGTGATTGCCCCACCAACTCTTTCTGACTGGGGATGGCCGTAGGGCGGAGGACGAGGGTCTTGACTTGACAGCAGCACGGAGACGGCTATGACTATGAAGGCGGCTCACGTGGCCACCGACACACAAGCGGGCGCCGGCCGACGTATCGATTGAAGCGGGGACTCCCTCTCCTTCTGCTCGACTCGACCGACATTGCCCCTGCCTCATCTGCACGTGCGTGGCATTCATCTGGAAACGACGGCTTGAGCGACTGCGGCTCCCTCCCTCCCTCCCTCCCTCCCCCTTAATTCTTGTCATCAATCAATCATAATGAAGTCGACCCACTCCAAGTCGCCAGCCATCAAGGACAGGTCCCCCAGGTCGGTGTCCATCCGCGAAGACCCCTCGAAGCGCCTCACCGCCCTTGCCATCCCGGAGGCCGCCATAGCCAAGGGCCGCAGGGCGTCCACTGCCGCCGTGGCGTCTCACTCTGCTGGCGAGATGTGGGATCGCCTCAACGCTGCCCTACTGGAGGTGGCAACGGAGAAGAGCCGGGCGGGGCGGCTGGAGAAGGAATTGGAGAGGGAGAAGAAGGAAAGAGAGGCACTCAGGACCACCATGGCCGCGGTGAGGACGTTCGTGAGTGTGTGTCAACCAGGGAGACGTGCCTTCACTCTCTTGATGTGTATGTGTGTGTGTGTGTGTGTGTCTGCCTGTAGCTTGAGCATGAGGTTCAGGACCTGAAGGAGGAGAAGGACGGCCTCGAACACTTCATGGCGCAACTCAAGGTACGTCACCGCTCGCGCATGAAAGTAATACAGACAGCCTCCTCCCATCGACCCTCTCTCTCTTCCATCCATCTCTGCTCAGGGTTTCGGGCCTTCGGGCACCCTTTCCTTCCTCGAGAGTTCCAAGAGCAGCTCTAGTGCTGTAGGCGACGCCGAAGAATCCGCAGCAGCACCAGCAGCAGCAGCAGCCGCCCCCGAGGTGTTGCCAGTCGACGGCCCCACACTGCAGGTGCCTGGCGGTGTGAAGCCGCATCAAGTGGCGCTGGAGGGTGGTGAAGTGGAGGAAGGGGAGGAGGCGGCGAGCCCCAGCAGCTCGGCTGATGCGGGTGACGACGTGATGGCGGATGAGGAGCATCAGGAGAGGCTGAGGCGGCGGTTGAGCGCCAGGTCGATGTCTGCGGGGCGGCGGTCGGGGCTCAACGAGGCAGATATCACATCGATACGCAACTCCATCGAAGTGCTCTCGAGACAGTGCACGTACGCAGACAGACAGACAGACAGACAGACAGAGAGAATTGGACGGGAAGGGGGAGAGGCGGGGGTATCTGGGACACACCGTGTGGCGCGAGGCACATGCAGACACGCATGTCTGTGCTCGTGCAGGATGCTGGCTGGACGTGAGAAGAGACTGCTGCAGGAACGCAAGTCTATCCAACAGCAAATCCAAGAAGGTACACAATCAGCCTCCTTCCTCCCTCCCTCCCTCCCTCCCTCCCTCCGTCCTTGCATCATCACACACAGTCACACACACACATAGACACACCGTCACGATGTCTGGTCTCTCTTCTCCCCTGCTTTCCCGTCAGACCGCGAGAATCTCTTGTCCAAGTTGCGAGAGAAGGTGACTGAGGTGTCTGAGCTCAAGCAGGAGCACCAGGACATGGAGATGCTCCTCCTCGCATGTGAGCGGGAATTCCTGCGGGAGGTTGAGCGCCCACCCGCTTTCTGCCTACACACGCTCAAGGAGCTCCGCCACGGCCGCGAGACACCCTTCCTCATTCCACCATCACCCACAGCCGACACGCCGGGTGCGGGGAATCTGGGCCTGCAGCCAAGTGAGACCGCCGAAGATGTCACGCCATCTGAGCCATCTGCGAGACATAAGACCTGGGAGGGGACGGCTGCATCCGGGGCGTCGAGCAAGCGTGCGGCGGGTGTGTCGGTAGAGTTCAAGCGGGGCGGTGGCAAGGTGAACCCTTTGGGTGCCGCTTATGCCGAGATCGACCGTCTGAAGCTGGTCATCAAGACGCAGAAGGAGAAGCTGGAGGAGACGCAGGAAAAGATGGCCGAGAAGGAGGAAGCAGCCAAGAAATCGAAACAGTCCGAGACCGCACTCCTCAAGAAAATGTACATACATACATACAGAGAGAGAGTTCACATGTGCATCGTCGGTCGGTCGGTCTTTGTGTGTGTGGTCCTTTTTTCCTTCAGGGGTGCGCTTCGCACCGAGAAGGACGTGACTGCGGCCAATCTGGTGGCAGCACAGAACGCACTCGACTTCGCGATGAAGAAGAGCAAGGAGTACCAGCAGAAGTTCGTCGACCTCATCAAGTCCGTGAACCAGCTCAAGGATAGCGGCCGCCTCAACACCAGCGGCGCACCAGACCCCCCCAAACCCCGCTTACCGGGCGCAGAAGAGGAAGCGGAGGCTGCTGAAGGCGAGAGGAAAGCGGAAGAGCCTGAGGAGGGAGAGGCCCCCGAACCCCCACCCCCACCAGCAGCGGCAGCGGCAGCGGTCCCGCCCGTGGTGCCCCCGCTGCCGATAACGGTCCTGGTAGATCGTTTGGACAAGGGCACATCGATGACGCCCCGCCCGGAGGCCGACCAACTGGTTTTGTCTGAGGGGGCGGTCCAGGCGCCACAGCCGGAGCAGCAGGTACGCCTCGCGCTCTCCCACGAGGAAGTGGTGCCCGATACAGCAGACAGGGCCAAAGCCCGCTTCCCGACCGCGGAGTCTAAGAGGGGCAAGAAGGTGTCCATCGCCCCTGCTGTGCCCAAGAAGCAGGGGAGGGGCAAGACGGCACCGCCCCAGCCCTCTCAAGTGGCGGGAGTGGTTGAGTCGCCCAGGGAAAGTGTGGTCGAGGGTCCATATGCGGCGGCGACAGGCGGGCCCCAGCCGGCCCCACCCGCCCACCCGAGGATGTCGGCTGTCGTTGCTCCAGTGGCCTTCTTCCCAGCTCCAAAAATACCCCCCCGCATGAGGATCATCAGAGCAGTCACAAAAGTCCTGAAGGTAGGTACTCACACACGATATATGATGTCTCTGCCTGCCTACCTCCCGGCCGGTGCGTGTTCAGGAGATCCGCAGTCTGCGTCTGAAGGGCAAGGGAGGCAAGGCGACGCTCGGCAAGGGCTCCCTCGTGCCCCCCGGGCAGCAGCAGGCTCCTCCACTCCCACCATTGGCAGCGTCCCTCTCACCAACACCATCGCCCCCCCTCCCCCCCAAGGTGCCATCGCCCCCCTCTGCCAAGCGCACATCACAGCAGGCGCTCGCGTCGCCATCCGACTTCCTTCGTCTGGGCCTGGGTGCCACCAAGAAGGCCGACAGGAAAGAAGCCGGAGCATCAGCAGCACCAGTGGTCCCCATCACCGACCGGAGCTCCCTTGCCGGCTCCCTGCGGCTGAGCATCAAGGCGCCCGCATTGTCCGAAAGGTCCGCCCTTGCCACCAGCGTGCACCTGGCCTCCCAGCAGCAGCAGCAGCAGCACCATCGCAGCCTGTCAGTCAAGGCTCCGAGTGTGCAAGGGCCGACCCCCCCGCCCGTCATCAGCCTCTCACTCCAAGAGAGACGGGGCAGCACCACCCCGGTTGCACGCCCGTCGGCCCCCCACCTCTCCCTGCGCCTTTCGCCCACACCGTCACCGGCCCAGTCTGCTCGCAACAGTGGCCGCAGCGCGTCTGTGAGTGGCGGTGCACAGCCTACTCGCCTGTCGCTGGGGCAGCTGGCCGCCCTTACACAAAGCCAGCAGGAGGAGGCCGCACAGCCGCCTGCTGACGAGGGGGTGCGGCCGGTGCTGCCAGAGGGGGGGAGGCTGAGGTTGGACTTGCCATCCATCAATGTGCCATCCCACTCGGTGCCGGCACTCAACCTAAGGTTAACCTACGCGTGAGGGAGGTGGAGAGGAATACAGACAGACAGACACACAGGGAAGGGAAAGGGGTTCAATGAAGTGACATCGATCACCGCGTGTGTCGTGTCGTGGGAGCAGCTTTGCTTCGACGTGTCTGTCTGGCGTCTGCCCGTGCGTGTGTGTCTGTCTGTCTCTGACTCGTTCGTTCGTTGGACAGATTCGGTCGTGTGTGCGTGAAAGAATGTGTTGGTCAGTCAACTGGCTGGTCAATCAACTGGTTGCTTGATTCTTCATTCATCGGGTGACTGACTGACCCTTGAGCATCAAAGGCACTCACTCAGGCCTTGACTCACTCCAAACCTCACTCATGTCATCGATGCATCTATCTCATGTCAGTCAACCGCCAAGCCCAACACACAAATACATATCCGCCCGCCTATATGTCTGTCAAATCCGCCCCTCCCTCGATTGACCAAGACACTCAACCGCACACACAGTCATTTAGCCGCCTGCCTTGCCGCCAGCAGTAGCGGCAGCAGCCACAGCACCATCGGGGGACGACGGCAGGGGGCTCTTGGGCTGACAGTGCACCCGTCTGGCTGGTACGCTGTATATGTGTCGGCCTGGCAGCACGACAGCCGACAAACGGCCCCCATACACGCAACCTGCACACACACACACCCACACACCCATGCCCATCTGTCCATCTGTCCATCCATCCAATCCATGTGTGTGTGTTCATCCCCAGCCAGCCCACCAGGCAGGCAGGCAGGCAATCTACCTACTTACACACCTGTGTCGAGGCCGATGGTGTGTTGAGTGACATAGAGGCCCTTCTTTGCGTCGTGGCCGTACACGACCAGCTGTGGCCCGTCCCACAGGTCGATCCAGTGCACCCCCTGTTTGTCGTCCTCAACGCCCCGCCGCCCGTCCACCAGGACATTGCGCATGTGCGTCAGCTCCCACTCACTCTGCTCCTCCAGCGGCAAGAACGGATTCAGCCCTGCGTGGACGACTACCAGGTCCTGTTGTTTGCCCCACGCCGCCGCTGCTGCTGCTGATAGTGATAGTGACAGTGGTGGTGCTGGTGGGATAATGGGGAAGCGGAGCATCTTGGGCTGGCGCATCAGCCAGGCCATGTCGTCCTCGGTGAGCTCCTGCAGCATCCGACGAAAGGCGCCCTTCTTCCGCTCCTGCTTGCTGCTGCTGCTGCTCTCACTGCTGGAGGTGTCTGATTGAGAGGGGGTGGGGAGGGTGGGGGTGACGGCGGCGGGCGAGAGGGCCACAGAGGGGGAGGGCGCCGGGGGGATAATCGACAGACAATGGGGGGCTGGAGAGCTGGTGCTGCCAGAGGGGTCGGGCTGGCCCGGAGAGGTCTTTCTACTGGCTGACCTCCTGCCCTCTGCCTCATAAATGCTGAACAGCTTCATCTCATGATTGCCAACCACCTGTAGGTAGGTGGGAATGGACAGACAGACAGACAGGAGGACACACAGACAGACAGACAGACAGACGGACAGGAGGGCACACAGACAGACAGACAAATCCGGTGGGTGAACTCCCTCGGCGTGCGCACACACCATGAAAACGGTTTGAGGGTATCTCTCCTGGTGCTGCCTGTAGAACTGCACTATCCCACTGCTGTCGGGACCCTTGTTGACCAGGTCGCCACACAACTGACACGACGCACACAGAAGCCAATGGTCTGCCGACGGCAACTCATGTCATCGATTTTCATCTGCGGCTCTGACCACAAGGATGTCTTTCCCAGGCCGATAGCTGAGCCCTCCCGGACAGCGGGGCGGCCGGCCCAGCAGATCAAACAGCTCTACCGTACACACGAAACAGCGGATAACACAGCTATGAAGACGGTGACTGACTGACATGCTGCCTCCCGTGCGCGCACTGTTAGTTACCGTCAAAGCACCCGTGCAGATCTCCCACTATGATGATTCGCCGTGACTCGCCAAAGAGCCTCGACATCCACTTCCTCCACCATTTCTTGGTGGCCTCGTGATCATAGCGGTGCACCAGATATCGGATGGCGAGCAGGGACGCGAGCGTGGCACCACAGCCGAGTAGTACTGACGCAAAACTTGAACGATGGAGCGATAAAAGCAAAGCCATGAGTGACGCGCTCGTGTTGGACTCGTAGATCAGGTGTCTGGCCGTCCCCCTTTCATCTCAACACATTGCCGGAAAGCGGCGGGCGAGCATTGGGCCTAGGGTGCTCCCTGAAACCGCTGCCCCATGTCGGCGACAGTGCGGTGAGGAACGCAGTCCCTCGCCGAGTAGATCTACTTGGGTTTGCAGGTCAGCTCGCGATGTACCGGACCGCCGTGGACCCCCTGATATTCCTCGATGGGACGCCGTTCGGCCACTTCCACTCGATTCTATTCGGCCTCACTGTGACGTCATGGTTCCTCATCGGGTGCATCACCGAGATGGTCCCGCTGCTCTACTCGGCCATGACGACCGAGGCCTGGATGGGCGGACACGACGGATTCGGATGGCTGGTCGGCGCCTCACAGATCGGCTCACTCATCGGCAACCTCCTGGGAGGCGTCATGTCGGATGTGCAGGGCAGGCGGCCCGTCCTGCTGACCTCTCTCTTGGTCATCGGCCTGGGCTGCGGCACTCTCGCCACCACCACCGTATGCAATGACTACGCCATGTGTTGCGCCGGCATTGTGCTGGTGGGTGCGGGCATGGGGGGCATCACCGTGACTTACCCGGCCCTGCTCAACGAGTGGCTGCCCGAGTCGCTGCGGCAGAAGTGGGTGCAGCGCTTCCAGATGGGGTGGATCGCCGGGGGGCTCACGGCCGTCGTGGTGGCCTTTCTGTCGTTCCCCCAGTGGCGCCTGGCCTTCCGCTTCCTCGTCGTGCCCAGCGTGCTGCTGCTCGTGGGGACCCTGACGCAAGTGCCCGAGTCGCCGAGGTTTCTGCTGATCAAGAAGAGGGAGATCGAGGCGCTGGAGAAGATCAACTTCATGCGCCGTGTGGACGGCCATCGACCCATCCGGTGGCTGGACCTGCAGAGCCACCCCCCGTCGGCCGCCAGCACCCCCACGGGCGGCTCGCCGCGGTCCATGTCGTCTCTACGCATCCCCAAACAGAGCCCCTCTTTTGTCGTCGCTCTCGGCCAGGTGTGGGCCAGCCATCACTACAGGCGGCTGGCTGTGGTGCTCAGCCTCCTGACCTTCCTGCTCTCTGTGGCCAGCACCGGGCTCAAGGTCTGGACGCCCTACATCGGGCAGGAGAAGGCCGACAAGGCTGGCAGGATCGCCGCTGACGAGGTGCTCGGCGAGGCTAATGAGGCTCTCCCTTCTGTCGCTTCTGATGCCCTTGTCGGAGCCTCTGAAGAGCCCTTCATCAACGGCAGCATAGTGGTCAACGACACGTCAGCCACACTGCCTTGGGCGCTCTTCAACGGGACCCTGTTGCCCCACGACATATTCCCCGGCGGCCTGCCGGCTGTCCCGTCCGCCAGGCAAGTTCCCATCCGGCTTGTGCAGCAGCAGATACAGCCGGACCACCACCACCACCTTGGCAGGCGCATGAGTGCTGAGAGAGGTGTGTTGGACGAGTTCAGGATGTATGACGACTTGGACGGCACTGAGGGGGAGGGCGGTCGGATCAGCCTGGGGTGGCTGGTGGTGCACGTGACCAACGGGGCGATGATCGTGATGTCGGTCAAGCTGATGGAGTGGATCGGGCCGCGCCGCACCCTGCAGCTGGGCCTGTGGGCGTCGGTGCTCTCGTGTGTCGCCATCCTGCTCCCCGCATACCAACGGTCAGAAAGAACAACATAATGCCGACCGACATACGTTAGGACGGATGGATGGATGGAGGCAGCTTCCCTAGCTATGACCCTTCTCTCCTTGCTGTATCGATTGCCTTTGTGTGTGTGTGTGTGTGTGTGTGCAGGTGGTGGGTGACGATATGCGACACGATGGTGTTTTGCGCCCAGACGACCGCCTGGGTGCCGCTCACGGCCATGCAGATCGAGTCGTTCCCAACCTCTGCCAGAGCTGCAGGTAAGTGGGTGGGGGGGTGCCTACCTGTCTGTCAGTCAGTCAGTCAGTCATACACAGATGCGAGGCTGCAGGCCAGGCAATGCATCACTTCACGCCCCTCTCCCTCCCTCCCTCCCTCCCTCCCTCCTTCTCTGTCTGTCTGTCTGTCTGCCTGCCTGTCTGGCGTCCGTCTGTCGGTCATGTCGGTCATTCATTCATTCATCCTAATCCAGGTTTGGGTTTGATGCAGCTGGTCAACTCGATGGGCAGCTTCCTTGTGGGTCCAATCGGCAGTCTGACGATCAGCATGGCCACCGCCTACGGCCCGCCCCATTCCGTCCACCCGGCCCTGCTGCCGCCGTGGGCCATGTCGCCCAGCGTGCTGCTGGTGTCGGGCTTCGGCCTCTGCTACCTGCTCACGTGTGTGTGCTTCTGTTTCATGCCCGGCAGACAGCGGCCGGGGAGTGGGGCAAAGGGGCAATGGGACCCTTGATTGACATGAAGGGGTGAGTGAACAAATGGATGGCCCATTGATCTGATTGATTGAGGCGAACTGTGCTGTGCTGTGACGGAGAGGGAGGGAGAGAGCTTTGAAAGCTCGGGAGGGGTGCGAGAGGTGGGTAAGCCTTCTTGAGAGTGCCTATGGTTGCGTGTGTGTGTGTGTATGTATGAGTGAGGCATGAGCTACTAGCATGGCAGCAGACAGAGGAGGCGACAGGCAGGCAAGTACATGTCAATCGCAGCTAACTGCATGTCATTAATTGTGAATGGATGTACACTTCGGGGCCATGCAATTTCAGACAGACGCATGGCAGGCACAAAGAGGGAGGGAGGGAGGGAGGGCATTTTCTGTATGTGTTATGCTGTCGGCCTCTGTTGGGCGCGTGTGTGGTTTAGTCCACGGGGCCGACTGAGGGGGAAGGAACTCGTCTGTGTTTTAATGTTGTTTCGGTCTCTCGGCCAGCCGGTCGATCGATTGCATACGTCCATATTATATCCCTTATATACTGCCAAATGGGTGCACTGCACGCCACGCACCGGTGTGTCCCTATCGCACAGCACACGGGGTGGGCAGAGAGAATAAGTGCGTGAGTGAGTGAGAGTGAGTGACGCTGACAGACAGGCAGCTGGGCAACAAACAGGTCGGCATTCCATCGACAGACACACTGTGGCACACGACGTACGTACGTGTATGTATCAATGTCCCTGGACTCATGGTCCAGGGAGACACGTGTTTGTCTGTCACCTGGTAAGTCGCTGACACTTCAGGCGTCCCGAAGCCGCTGTGGCGAAACCGCCCCGCCTTGCACTCGCTCTTGGACGGCAGGGGCATATGGGCGGATCTGAGTGTAATCAGTGTGAAGTTGTGCGCGACGTTGAGAGGCCGGTGTTGGTACCCGTTCATCAAGTCGTATTTCGAGGGAGCACGTAGCACAACACCTGACGGGGTGTGAATAAAATGTTGAGACGTTGTGGAATATGATCTGATTGTGTGCGACAGTGCGCTGTCTGTCTGTCTGATGGCGCAGCTTTCGTCACTCATCACACCAATCAATAAACAGTCAGTCAGTCGTTCATGCACATGTGGGTATGTTGTGTTGCACGTCCCACACACCCAGCGGACACAAACAACGGTCGTTTGCTTGACACAAAAACAGTCCGTTAAGCAAACAAGACCATCCATCTGCAAACCCACACACGGTACCTCCCTGTCCGCCTGTCCCCCTGCCTGCCTGCCTGCCTGCTTATCTTACACAAACCATCCGGACGCTAGCTCTCTTGGCATCGTGCTCAATCAAAATACAGAGGCAGGGAGGGGAAACCCATGAAAACGTGGCTGGCTGCTGGGTTGCATATGCATGCAACGCTAGAGGGCGTTCAACCGCTCCTCAATGTCGCCCTCGCCCTCGGCAACCTAATGCAGCAATGGACAAGTAACACACACAGACACACAAGACAGACACTCATCCTCACATACGGATTGCGCGCCGATCTGATCAATCAGATCTGATCTTGATCTGTCGACTGACCTCAGCTTGTGGTTGTGCCTGCGCGGGCAGCTTGCCGGCCGCGGCGGGGAGCTGGCCCAGGACGCCGGCCGCTACCTCTGACAGCACCTTCTGCACCTCCTCGTCGGCCTCCTCCTCTACACCTGCTCAGGTGAGGGAGTGACCAAAGAGACAGACAGACAGGCAGACACAAGGGTGGATTGATGGCTTGGGTGTGGTGTGTCGTCTGTGTCTTGTCTGTCTGTCGGTTCGGCGGCTGCCCGTCTGCCCCTACCGGCGGCGTCCATAGAGTCGACGGCGTCGCTGACCATCTCCTCGATCAGACCCATCTTGGTCATCTCGCCTGCCATCTCGCCCATCTGACGGGATGGATGGACGGACGGAGATAGGGATGAACAGAGAACAGCACACACGTGATATTGCTGAAGAAAGGATGGCTGAGTGGTTCGTTGGTTGGTTGGGCAGTCTGGCCGACCACTTTTGCGACTTCTGGGTATCTGATGAGTTTGCTCATCGACTGCATCACGTCGGTGCTCGTCTTGAGGTGATCCGCCATACGCATCGTAGCTATACAGACAGGCACACACAGACACACAGCACACCCACCACACAACACAAGACAGAAATGGACGGGTGGATGGATGGATGGACGCAATACAACAAGAGAGAGAAAAGTGTGTGTCTTGTGGTGTCCTGTCCCCCTCACCCAGGTTGCTCTGCAGCGACATGGCGACGGAGTTCATGTGTGCCTTGCTCTCGTTCAGCCCTTCACCCACACACCCACACACCCACACACCCACACACACACAGAGACAGACACAGAGACAGACAGCAGTCACTGCACCTCTCCCCATAGCAGCAGACAGGGCGGTGCCTTGCCCACATCTCTCACTCACTCACGTGTTTTGGCGTTTCTGGACCTGACGACCTCCTTCGCGAGTACTTTGCACGACTGCACGTCGTTCCTCTTGGCGGCGGCCTTGATCTCAGCCACGACCTTCCTCTCCTCAAAGTCGATGCTTCGGATGGAGCGGTCGATGCCTCGCATCTCGTGACGAAGCTTCCGAGTCCACTCACGCACCTGCACACACAGCCCTCACACAAACACACACAACTCTTACAGAGAGAGGAACTCCATCCATCGGTTGTCTTGCACCGACCTGTTCTTTCGGTTCTTTGGGTGGCTCAGATGCTCGTCCAAAAAGTGACCACACCATGGCTGGCTCCTTCTCAACCTCCGAGCCGCTAAGACCTCACTCGGCACACACCAGACAGGAGGCTTCCACACAGCAGTACGACGGTAGCTGTCTTGGTGCGAATCTTCTCTCTCTGGTTAGATCTGCTGTCTAGCGAGTGCGACGGCCACTCTGACCACTCCAAAACGACGAAAACGCGAATCACAAAGCTCAGGCTAAGCTCCCAGGGGAGGAGCACTCATTCCTTGGCCGCCAGGCCGCCTAGGGTGCTTCCTGAAACCGCTGCTGCAGGAGCGACTCATTCCAGTTTTTTGGTATGGAAAACAGGCCACGTGGTCTCGACGATGCCCGCATTTTTGCACTGCTCAAAGACCTGTGGGGGATTTATGAGGGTTCTTTGATCTTTGATCTGCCGACTCCCGTGCGTGTTCCGTCTGGAGAGGGCGCTGGAGGCTCTGATGCTGCGTGCGGCGTTGTCAGTTCGATAGAGCTGCGCGGCCTGGAAAGCTATGATGATTTCAATGCCCATGTCGTTGTCAGAGTGGGGGACGAGGCGCGAATGGAATATGTGTTCAAGGCGACCATGCTCCACACGCGTCAGCGACTGGTAAGGGGTGGAACACACAGGGGGAACACATCATGTCGTCGAATGTTTGCTCATACAGGAGCTGCAGACGGAGGTCATGACCTTGCTCAATGCAGCTGGTCTTCCGTGCCCAGCTGTCGTCCCTTCTGTTCACGGCAGGCACATAGAGAGGGCCGACGGGCTCACCACTGACGGCACTGCTGCAGCAGACGAGTGCAATGGCAAGAAACACCGGCCAACTCTGTACGAGCGAACGTGGTCGACAGTTGATTGTTGACGTAGGGCTTAATTGTGTGGTTTGTTTAATCAGTGTGCGGCTACTGACATACCTGCCGGGCAAGGTGCTGCCACTGCAGCATCACCGATCGCGAACCATGCTCATCAACCTTGGGAGGCTCGCCGGGAGAGTGTCGGCTGCACTCGAGGTGTCTGACTGGGGTCATTTCATTTTTCCCAGCCTGCGTGCATGCCTGTCTATGGATATATCGTTCAGGGTTACGAGCATCCCGCATCCGAGTGGGATTGGGAGTGGAATATCGCCACTCTGATCGCCACGTGCAGGTCCAGCCGAGTCGACCTCCTCTATGTGTATATATTGGTTGTTTTCGGCACCAACCATTTGCATGTTTGTGTGTGGGTGCGTGCGCGTGTCAGGCCGCGGGTGCGGTACGAGCAGCAGGCTCATCGGCGGGAGCTGGCTACACTAATTCTGGCATATCACACATGCACTTAAGAAGGGCACACATACATTCAAGAATGCTGGTCTGTCTGTTCAGGATGAGTTTGAGCGTGTTGTGTGCCCGCGGCTAAGCTCTCTCCGCCAGTCCGTCGCACACACCGACCTCAACGATACCAACCTCCTGTGGGCAGGTGACACGCATTCATGAGACGATTCATGTGTGCGTGGATCGCTGCGACGTCTGTGTGTGTGGACGCTGATCGGTTGGTCCATCGATCGGTCCATCAGGTGACGAGTGCTGCGGTGTGCTCGACTTTGGTGACGTCATACATACAGCCACGTGCTTCGAAGTCAGTAATTGGATACCATGTGGTCGGTCACGCGTGTCACTCGTCGGTGTGTGTCACTGTCTGTGTGCAGGTGGGCATATGTGCGGGGTATCACTGCATTGCGCAACCTGACCCTTGGGAGGCTGCACTCACCATCATACAAAGGCAAACACGCACAGTCACACACACACACACACACACAGCCATACACAGCAATGCATTCATGGACTCTCCGTCGGGCACCTTTCGTATGCGTTATGGTTCGTGCGTGTGTGTGCAGTTATGATGAGGGTTATCCGCTTACTGATGACGAGATAGAGGTCCTGCCGCTGGTGGTACAGGCCAGGTGAGAGAGATAGACGGGATGAACAGAGGGGTGGAAGACAGTATGTAATTGGAGGCAGCCAGGTAGAGGTTGGTCTAGAGGATGATGATCGATCTCTCAAAGTCCTTTAGGAGGCCGGTCTGCAGGTCGGCTGTTGACTTGAAGGAACAATGTACCATCAGATAAACTGCTGACCAAACAGACCAGCCAGACAGCAGAGACAGACAGACAGACAGACAGAGAGGGAAGGATGGAGGGGGAAGGTTTTTCACTCCTCACGCGTCATTTTCATCGCTTTGTGTGCTGTCCATTTCAGGATTCTGATGTCGGCACTCAACTCAATTTACTACCAGGTGTGGATGATGAAGACAATGAGCTAGACTACATGCGAACGACATCGGATGTGTGTGTGTATATGCCGCCGCGCTGCTCTGGTAGACACTTGAGGTGCGCTGAATGAGCAAACAGGCGAATTGCTCTCATTATGCTGTGATTCTTGTGTTAACAGCCCGACAATGAGTACCTCTCACACACACACGAGGTACACAGAGAGACGACAAATGGCCAATCGAAGTGAACGCGTACGTCTTGCTGTGCGGTATGTCTGTGCAGCCCGGTTGGCGTACGCTTGAGCAGCTTGGTGCGCGTCTCGAGATTCGAGCAAGGGGGCAAGAGGTGGCTGTGGATGAACTAAAGAGGAGGCTCAAGGCCTCACGTGTACATCGAGGCAGCCCTGCAACTACGGTCACAGTTGAGACACCTTATTGTGTTGTGCGCAGGGAGGGCTGACATACATCGGCCTGGTTTTGCGACTGGCAGGCACCACCGAGTGACAGGATCGCTGCTGAATAAGGCTGAAGTGACTGCTGGCGTGATGTCGTGACGTTTCTTCCCCATAATAGAGAGAGGCGTAAATGTCTGAATGCAAACGTTCTCTCTTCGTGGCCAAGGGATCGGCTTGTCTGTGTGCGCGTGTGCTCGTACGTACACCCATTATGTCATGTGTCTCTGATGTACTGTGGGCTCGGACAAGTGGGACCCTGCTTTTAAATGGGAAAAAGAATCCCGTTTATCCGTTGCACATAAATGTTGGTCCGGACGACGAATTTGCTTGGCGAGATTGAGTCACGGTATAAAGGGAGAGGAGCCGGGCGCTTGCGAGGCAGCAAAGGCCCACTGGCGACTCACAGGAGGGTCAGTTGAGTCATCTGAGGCGTCTGATGACATTCATCCAGCCCAACACACGTTTGTTGCGGGCTGATGTGATTTGCCCTGCTTCCCCTTCCGCTCCCCTCCCCTCCCCTATCCTCACGCCCGCCCAGCCACCCAACCCTTTTCCCCCATCGCACATCGAGCATCGATGCATTCACTGCTGCAGGACTTCGACCGATTCACAGCCCGCTTGGGTGATAGTGAATGGATGGTTTTTCATCGTTTCATGCAGACGCCGCACGGCTTCGGCGTGACCGTGGAGGACCAGTGCAGCTGGTGAAGGGCGATCCACACACGTAAGTTAGTTACTGTGTGCACGTACTGTCGCACGTTCGAAGTAGCCATCAAGGGCTCAAACAATTATGTAACAGGCTGTCACATTGTGGCAGCCACCCACCCGAGAAAAGAATGAATGAGACACACCCACCTCTTTGCCTCTAGCTAGCCAGGCTAAGCCAGCGATACATGTATCGATGGACTACACACATTCGATCATGCATGCTACGAATGATCGAATGAATCAATACAACTGACCATGTACACGTGCATACTGATGGGGTCTACACGGACGGGGCGTGCTTCCACACCTCATCTACAAACAATCAGCCCGTCCGTCACATAGAGCAGCCGCACAGCTGGGCAAAAGCCTGACTGGAACACGCAGCCGCGGCCCACACGGAAGACGACACACCAATCAGTGCATTAGCTAATAGCTATTTCCAACACAAGCTGACATGCATTGCTAATATTCTTCATTCATTCATGTCTGATCGGCCCGCACAGATGACTCGAAAGCAGGCGTGCTGCCGCTAAGGTTGCCCTGCGTCATCCGCAGCTGAGACTCGAAGCCAAGGAAAATCTGCACACACGCACACACGCGGACACGCAAGAGAGCGAGACACATGATCGCATCGACAGAGCAGGTCATGTGGCATGCACTCACCTGTAGGTTGTTGGCAGGTGTCCGTATGGTGGAAGCGCCCTTGTTGGAGAGCTCAGACTCGACGCCGTCTCGGTCGTCAAAGTCGTCTCGATCGTCGTCATTATTACCACGATTAGGGTCAGGTGGTTTGCTTCGTGTGTGGGGATGGGAGTGCCGGTGGCCAACACGAAGCTGCTTGATCGACGACAGTCCCGCCGATGCGTCGACCCCCTTGGCTAAGCTCATATACTCATCGTCCGTGGATGAGGCGCCGGGGCTGTCGGGCGGCAATCTGGCCTGGTGTCTCCCCTCGTCATGATTGTGTCTGTGGTGGGGCCCCTGCTTGTTGTTGCTGTGTTGCTGCTGTTCGGGATAGCTCGCCTCATAGCCGTCATCGCCGTCGTCCTCACACTCGTCATAGTCCAAGTCAGTCCGGACCGACAGCTGTTTGACATTGCCGAGCTTGTTTCTGTTGATCGCTGTTTGCGAGTTGGGCCTGGTCTCCTCGCCGGTTTGCCCGTCTTTGTTTCGCTTGATGCCTTGCAGGTTGGGTGACGAGTGGAAGAGGCCCAGCCACGGCGGTCTGAGCCATCGGGAGCCCCAGCCGCTCAAGAAGCCCTTCTGCGCGCCCCCTTGAACGTGATGCTGCTGCAGGTGCTTTGACCCGTACCACCACAACACAGGCAATGTCAGTAGCAAATACACAAACATCAAGACGCCTGCATTCAGAAAGACAGGGAGGGATCACAACAGAGCAGGAGAAGCACGACCTGTGGCGACTTCGGCAATGTCGGCGTTGATGTCCTCCGGCTATCACGCGGCACACGTTATAATGATCAAGAAAGACGTCGTTTGTGCATTCAGGACGTCTTGTCAGGGGTTTGTGCAGTCACTGACCAGAGGGAAGGTATAAAAGAGGGCGATCAGGGTCACAATGTGCATCAGCAGCATCTGAGAGGACGAGACACAAGCCACTTGCACCTGTCTAGGTGCCGTCCGTGATCACACACACGTGTCGGTCCTTTCATCGATAGATTGACTGACAGTGAGTGCGATGTCCAGCTTGCTATTTGCAGACCGCCTCCACGGCGCAAATGTCATCTGCAGGGATGAATCAATGAGTGAGTATGAATGATTGAATGAAGAAATACGGAGTGAGGGGACAAGGAAACCGATTGACATCACCGTTGCGAAAGCGTAAAAGGTCAGGATGACTCCGTAATAGAGCAGCTGCAGCTGCCCGATGTTCGGCACTATCACAGTTGACAGAGCCAGTGAGGCGTTCCGGGCCTGCATAGATAGGTGCATTAATTAGGTGGCTGCCAGACCTTATCGCTGGCTGGTCAGCTGGCTTACCATCCAGACGCACTCCCACCAATGCATGCCTGTCACACGCAGTCAGGCAGGCAGGCGCAGGAATCATCACAGACAAACACGTCCCAATGACGCGTGACTCATCGACACAGGCCGCCGAGACATGATTGCAATTATGTTCGGGTCACCCACCCTGTCTGTATTTGCCCACAACGTATCTGAAGGCAGCGCTGAAGACCTGATCGAAGTCCTGAAGATGTGTGGCCTTGTTTCTCTTCTTAAGGTCTGTGAGCCGCTGCATGCGGAAGGAGATGACGATGGACGCGATGTAGGGGCAAATGATGTACAGAAAAATGGCCAGGAAACTCAGCCACAGCTGATCGCGCCACTCCTTGCCTCGCGCCTGAAGCAAGCAAGCAAAGACGAGAGAAGAGAGAGAGAGAGGAGACACAAGTGAGAAAGCAGCCAGACTAAGAGACACACACTTGACAGACAATTATCAAGCGTGATTGGATTTGATTTGATCTGATCTGACCGAGTTCCAGTCGCAAATTACATATGGATGCAGTCGGACGGTGAAGTCCCCGGATGGATGCTGCAAGGGCACATAAATGTACGTACATACGCACACAAGTGTGGATGGAAACGTTGTACCCGAAAGCAGTCGACGTGTGTGGTAGCAATCGATGCGAGGGCCACATACATGAACGAGGAGACCTGTGTCGTGGTCGCCAAGATCTGAACAACACACAGGAGCCAAACAGGCACACAGGCACACTGACCGATGAATCAACCAAGACGGACGTGAGTGGTGAGTGCCCCGCGCAGAGGCACACGGCTACTCTGGCGATATACCCGGATGAATCCCAGGCCATGGGCGGTGTCGACAAATGTCTTGCGGAACCAGTGCAGCCAGGCCTTCTTTCGCCTCCCCACCACCTTGTCGGGATCGAGGCATTCCCACTTCTTGCCATAAAACACGAAAGCCTGCACGTGACACCAGGTGAGTTAGCCAGCCAGCAGGAGCGAATAGTGAAGGAACATTGCTGAGCGGATACCTCAAGGATGAAGTGCACCAGCGTGACAGCCAGGACAAATATGATGGGGATCGAGAAGACGTACATGAGTTGTGTGGCGAAGGTGTCCATGCCGTAGCAATTCACACCGAGGACGGTCGGGTCCAGCATCAGCAATCTGACACATTCATATGCGTACGCATTTGCACACACAACCGTGGATCACGAGACATGGATATGTGTGCGTGTGCGTGTATACGTATACGTATTACGTATACGTATATGTATATGCGTGTATGTATCTATCTGCATCAAGAAATAGGTGAGCTGAGTCCCTTGTCCAAATTTCTGCACCCACCTTGGGAGGCTGAATAGTTCTTGCACCTGGACGTCAATACGGAGGTTGAAGCTGCTGATGATGCCGATGTGTTGGAGGAAGGACAGGATGATGAGGAAGGCCTTGTTGGGGTCGTCGGCCGCCTCCCTCTCGTTGCGGCTGATCACGCTTCTGGCCGAGACGCCCGGCGTGCCGTCGCCTCTTGTCTTGCGCGGGTCGTCATAGGACGTCTTGGCGTAGAAGAAAGCGCCGACCGGCATCATAACGATGAGACTCATGAGCATGAAGCCCAGTATGCCTCCAGACATCCTGCACCGCGTGCATTCACCGCCGCTGCCCTGCAACATCACCCATCCGCATAGACCGACAGCCAACAACCTCACCTCATCCTCTGTTGCATCCGTTCGTATGTGTGTATCTACCCTGGTATATCCGCTCTCGCATCTGCCGCATGCGAGCCCCACTCTGTGCTTCTTGCAGTTGCGGGGCGGCCCGCCCTTGCATGTCGATCGTGGGTTGCACTCGTATACGGTGGGAAAGTCGTTGGCATCGCGGATGCCGTAAGACTCCATGTAGTAGCCATCCAGCGCACCCGGGGGCTCAAACCGGCCTGCGTGCACAAACCATTGAAGCAACGAATCAATAAGTGATCATCTGTGCAGTGCAGACATTTACCAGGGCAATCGTACAGGTTCTCGTCGCATAGCTTGCATGTGCCTGGGGGCAGGGTGGCGTTGACAAGGTCATCAGTGCCAATCGACCCATTGAACCCATTTCTGTAGAGACCTGCGTGCAGGTTCACAACAAACGGCTGATTCAACCACTTGTGGACGATCTCGCGCCTGGCTAGCTGCGTGTGAGTAAGAGAATGCTACGTGGATCTGCAACGAGAGACTGACCAGTGAAGAAGTAGCCTTCTCTGCAGACACACTGGTTGACGGACACGCTGCCAAGGGCGTCCGTGGTACGCGTCTCGCCGCACTCGGTACAGTTCGGCGCCCCCTTGCGGTCGCTATAGAAACCCTCAGCACAGCGCTGGCACACACTCGACCCCTCCGTTTCAGAGAAAAACCCCTCCGCGCATATCTGACACCCCTTGTCAGAGTTGGCAGGGTTGGCATAGCCGATCTGACAGGGCGAGCAGAATGTCTGGCCCTCCAGTGGCTGACCTTGGCCTGGACGCATACATACATGCACGCGGCGAGTGTTTTGAAAGCCATTTAAGCAAAGGGGGACCATCCGTGTCTCTGGAGGCCTTTCATACCGGGTGGGCAGAACTCGCACCGAGTGGCATTTGTCGTGTCCGAGAAGGTGTTGGCGGAGCAGTTTCTGCACTCCAGCCCTGCATACATAACACACACACACACACACACGGAGAGAGAGAGAGAGAGAGAGAACACAACCGTCAATCAATCGGCGTGAGTTGCCAGCCTTCGCTGCA